TCTACGAAAAATATTCAATTTGGTTTGCGGTGAAACTTTATTATTCGAATTGGCTTCGCACCCAACATTCTGCTATTCGCGCAACCCTAAATTTAAGAGTGTTTGAGCATATGGCGGATCCCGTGCAAAGTTATAACTTTCATGAAAGCGAGCGAGGGAATGAAACAAATACCGCAAAAAAGATAGGCATCCATGAACACAAGCTGTAAATGCACGCCGTCGTATTCGTCAAGTGCTGATCACGCACTCTCAAGGGGTTGAACATAACAGAATAAAATAATCGCCAATAATAGGAGTTTTTGAAAATGGCCTCAATAGCTTATGCAATGATAGTTAACGCTGGTTACCCAGGTAAGCCAAAGTGAAATTTTACTGCAGCAAAAGTGATTCAGCAGCTTGTACATCTTTTTTGTGTCAGAAAACACCTTTTCTCCAATCACTTTAGGTTTGGGCTTTATGTACGCATATTTATGCGAGAGAAAACTGCGGCCTCACTTCATCATTATCATCATTATCATCATTATCATCATCAGCCTGACTACGCCCACTGCAGGGCAAATGCCTCTTTCTTTATCTGCTAATCAACCCGGTCTTGTGCTTTCCGTTGCCACGTTATACCCGCAAACTTTTTAATTTCATTGGCCCACCTAGCTTTCTGTCACCCCTTTGTGTGTTTGCCTTCTCTGGGAATCCAGTCAGTTACCCTTACTGACCAGCGGTTATCCTGCCTACGTGCTACATGTCCAGCGCATGTCCATTTCTTTTTCTTGATTTCAACTGTGATGCACTTAACACTGGTTTGTTCCCTGACCCACTCTGCTCTCTTCTTGTCTCTTAAGGTTACACCTATTAGTTTCCTTTCCATCGCTAGCTGCGTCGTCCTCAATTTAAGCTGAGCCCTCTTTGTAAACCTCCAGGTTTCTACTCCGTAGGTAAGTACTGGCAAGATACAGTTGTTATAGACCTTCCTCATGAGGGTTAGTGGCAGATTAACATTCATGATTTGAGAATGCTGGCCGAATGTGGTCCACCCCATCCTTATTCTCCAGTTATTTCACTCTGATGGTTAGGCTCCACGATCACTACCTGTCCTAAGCCGACATATTCCTTTACAACTTCCAGCGTCTTTCCACCTATCGCCAAGTGTTGTTTTCTGCCGAGACTGTTGCGCGTAACTTTAGTTTTGTGCATAATAGTTTTCCGACCTACTTTTCTGCTCTCCATATCCAGTTCCGTAATCATGAGCTGTAACTCGTCCCCTGCGTTACTCACCAAAACATTGTCATCAGTGAATCGCACGTTATTAAGGTACTCTACATTAACTCTTACCCCTAAATCTTCCCTGTCTAAAGTCCTGAATACCTCCCGTAAACACGCGGTGAATAGCATCGGAGAGATCATGTATCCCTGCCTTACACTTTTCTTTATTGGGGTTCTGTCGCTTTCTTTATGGAGAACTATGGTGGATGTGGATCCTTTGTAGATTTCTTCCAGTGTGTTTATGTAGAGTTCTTCGATGCCCTGATTTCGTAGTGCCTGCATTACTGCTGATGTCTTGACTGAGTCAAACGCCGTCCTGTAATGTATGAAAGTTATGTATTGGGGTTGGTTTTATTCAGCTCATTTCTTTATTACCTAATTGATAGTAGGAATATGGTCTAGTGTGGAGTAGCCGGTACAAAATCCTGCTTGGTCCTTTGGTTGATTGAACTTTAATATCGCCTGAATTCTATTAGTTCTTTCTTGTAAATAGTTCGTACACAACGAACAGTAAGCTGATCGGTCTGTATTTTTTGAAGTTCTTCACGTCTCCTTTGCTATGAATTAAGATGATGTTGGCGTTCTTCCTAGATTATGGTACCCTTCCCGGCCAGAGCCGCTTTGTATAACAGGCGGCTAATTTTTCTAACACAATTTCTCCGCCATCTTTCAGGAGGTCTGTTGTTACCTTATTCTCACCAACGGCTTTGCCTTTTTGCATTCCTTTCAGGATTTCCTTACATCCCCTGTCGTTACAGACAGGGTGTCGAATTCCTCTGGTTCATTATTGTTTCTCACAATGTCATCCTGGTTATTTTGATTTCTGTACAGCTCTTCTGTACAGCCTCACCTAGGGGACAAAAACATCCTATTGTCCTAATTACTCATACGTGATGAAACAGGCTATGCCTAGAGACAACAACCACTGTAATGTAATAGATAAGAGAACAGCTTATTTGTTAGTGCGAATTCCACCAAAAAGATGCCAAGACAGTTTTAGAAGCCAGTTGATGCAGCCAATGACCCCTTAACAAGCTTTTTCTTATTTGGATTGCGGTCGCTGATTGCACGTGCTGCGGCATATTTTACGGTGCCACTGCCTCATCACGGATGAGTTAGCGTACGTAGATGGGGCAGTGGCACTTTCTGTGGGTGCAATACTCTGAGCCCGAGCTCCTATCGCCAATTGAAAAATGTTGCGGAAGAGTGTGACATTCAAATACAAATAGAAATTTAAATACAAATTCAAATACAATGTTGAAGTAAGCGTCCGAAAGAAAATCTGTGAATCCTACAAATCTAGTGCGTTTTGCAGCTGTCCACGAATAGCCTATCAGATACGCCACTCGTTAAAGAATAAAATGACTTTTTCTTTCGGAGAACACACGGAGCTACACGTTCTCACAAAAGAAAATAAACGAGACCTAAAGGCCCGTAGTCTTCACAGCTAAATCCACAACAGCGGTTAGGACGCAAGTTGAAGCTTACTCGTAGATGCCAGTGAAGTTGGGCGTTGAAAAGAAACGGCCGTAAATGGTTATGCGTACGTTGAACCCGCTTCAGCATTCCTTGCTAACGTTTTCTGTTCCATTTGCCTTCAAGGAATTTCTTATCTAATGACGCGTGTAAAGATAAACGACAGCGGTGTTCGCACTCACTGACACTCGTGCTGCTGAGTTGAGGCCAGTTAACTCTTTCCCTTATTCCCGCCACCTTCACCTTGCTAAGGAATAAAACGTTATCTGCCGACCCCCTCAGGTGGCCCTTTTCTGTCGCAAACAGCTTTAGAAGCCAGCGGTACACGTGCGTCGGTGTTGCGCGCTGATTTGACAACACACCTGTGGTCATTGTACTTGCACGTTTTGCTGTCTAATATTGTGTGCAGGGTGCCCTCTTATTATTTTTTTTTGCAAAGCTCGCAGAAGGTTCCAGGTGAAACAGACAAAAAAAAAAAGAAAATCTAAAAAAGTGACCTAGCAATCTCAACGATTTGCAGTAACTTGTGGCTAAACTACTCGTACACTGCCTCGCATTGGAATCGACCCGAACAAAAACTGAGTTTCAAAGGTGCTGGAAATAAGTACGTGAACTTAAACGATAATACCGACGCAATAAGGTCAAGATGACGGATAGGCTGCTGGCCCACTAGACGACAAAGTCTACGCTAGGTGGCGCTACAGTATGCTTCGAGATTCTTTATGTGAATGTATGTAACCTGTCTATCGCGACCCAGTTGGTGGACCCTCTGTCTCAAGCAACTCCACTATACTCTTCATCCTGTCATATTTGTCCTTTGTCTAGTGAAATGCTTCTCATACGAGCCAGGTTTTGTTGGGCTGACCTCGTTTTTATCTTACAAAAACCGACAGAAAGAGCTGCCCCTGAGACCCTAAATGTGTTTCCTCGGTATCTGCATGATTCATCTTCAGTGTCCCCCAAAAAAGCCAATGCCGTGAACAATCTGGTGCTGAATGTCATTTTATAACTATCTCAGGCTACGCCATAATTAACTGCGCGTCTCGCTCATTACTATTGTGACTTTCCTCGTTGTCTAATACAGATGGCGGTATAATAGCAGCTCCATGGAGAAACTCGCTAAACGCCTTCATTGTGTCTGCACTCCGGCATGGGGCAAGAAGAGCTGAATAAAATAATTAGAGCATACTGGCTTGGAACAATTAAAGACAGTCACACATACTCAATTATGACGAGTTAATAATTGCGTTGATGCACCAGTGCGTGTGCGCAAGCTTTCCGAATCACTAATTTATTATCGAGATGAAATAATTGTTAGAGGTTTACGCCCAAAAACTGCGATGTGATTATGAGACACTGTAGTGGAGTGCTCCGGAAGTTTTTGACTAGCTGGTGTCTTTTAACGTGAACCTAAATCTAAGCAAACGAACCTGTAGCATTTCGCATCCATTGAAATGCGGGTGCCACGGTCGCGATTCCCTCCCGTGATAATCGGGCCAGAAGTAGAGTGCTATATAAGCCCTAGGCCATCATCATCATCATCATCATCATCATCATCATCATCATCAGCCTGCCTACGTCCACTGCAGGACAAAGGCCTCTCCCATGTTCCGCCAGTTAACTCGGTCCTGTGCTTGCTGCTGCCAAATCACACCCGCAAACTTTTAAATCTCATCCTTAGGCCATAGTGGCTGGTATATTACCGACAATTGTTAACTAAGCCATCAGTAAGTGCTTACGGAAAGCTATGTGCCGCGAACAGGTGTTTTAATTGAATGCAGAAGCATACCTAGCAGAACAGAAGCTGTTCCTTGAGGAAAAGAAATAAATAGCAAGGAGGACGATGGCTACAATACTGCCCTCAATAAAAAGTCCGTACAGTTTATACATACTAAGTGGAATGCTTTGCTGTGTGAATTAACGAGCACTTTTTTATTTTTTCGCATATAATTCGGGTAGAAGTGTGTGGCAACATAGTAAATCATTTCCTACACTTTGTAATAAATCCTACAGTATTGTTTGTTTAGAGCTTCAGGGGACGTGATCGTCTATTGTTGTGGCAGATCATAGCATATGGGGATCATGAAAACTCGCTCGTAAATAAACCCACAACTCTTGTCACAAAGATGAATAAAAAGAATATAGCGACGTCATAGGATGCAGATAAGGAATAAGAAAGCGCAGCTACACAAGAAAGTGCTTACCATTTACGACTCTTGAAATGTAACAGCCCGTCTCTACACATCATATATGACAGACAAAGCTCCACGTTCTTTTGCGATTTCGACTCGGACATCTACCTCCTCCTTCCCCGAGTTGAACACGGTGCCGCCCTTCACCTGAAGATGGTGTTGGACGTTTAAAAAATGACGGTGGAGTGTGAGGAGAGGGCGATGACAACTTATGTCGCATGTCTGCACTGCCCGTCACATTCGTGAGTCGAGAGGAAACAACGTGCGAGTACACAACGGTGAGCCCAGTCACACGTTTTGCCATGACACTACTTACCCCTGAAGGCCTCTTGGCTACGGTGAGTGAGACTTGTTTCCTAACTTCAGTGAATGTCACGTTGACGCGCACTAGTATTTAACTTTGTTCCATGTACAAAAACTAAGCCGAATTTGATGCTTGAGCTACTTGCTCACATAATAGGTAGAGAATGGTGGATCTGTGATGAGACTTACAGGTAACATATAGTGCCTTTAACGAAGGTTCGATCTGCACAGATATAACTTACTAATCATTATGGATTGTAAAAAAAAAGCACAAGAACTTAGCTAAGCAATATTCCTTTACAGTATGACCAAGAATTTATACAGATATATTTATCGTAGAGATCAAGCACAGCTCTTGTCATGTTGCTCATTGAAATGCACGGTTCTTGCTAATTTATTTTTTCGAAACCTGCGAGTAAGATAATATAGTTATATTGTCGTTACGTCCGACAACGGTACATCATCCTGAAGATGCTTTCTGTACTGCAGTATATTGTTATTGCTTACGTAGCTCTACACATAGACGTGCACAAGGTCGTCATGGGGACGACGGCTCGTCGCAGCACCTCTCTTTTATTTTAGATCACTATGTGGGGCAGATTTTGCGCCCCTACACCTCGTAAAGTGGCCAGGGAGGGGGCTGCCGAATCTCCCCTGCACGCCTATGTCTTTATGCGCAACAAGTGAACATACCGGCAATCATTAAATTGCTACGTGTTGTTTGCTAGGATCTATCTATTCTCTCTTTCTTTATCTTCTTTCCTTTCCTTTTCTTCTAGCCTAGATGTCCCTGCAAGTATTAGCATTGTAGGTTGTGTAATTGTTGCTATATTGACATGTTAACAGGTCTTGCGACTTTTCCCGCATGCTATCCCGACTATTCTTTGTCAAGTAGTTGTGATTTAGTCGCGTGGCACATGGGCGAACTTATTAACAGCGATGTGTCGGGGTATAAAGATGACACTAAGTTGACCTTATGATCATGACCTTATGCTCTCAGATGACACTAAGATGACCTTATGCTCTCAGTTGAAACTTCAGTGAGTGAATAGCTGGGTATGTGCCGTTTTGCCAGTTGCCTGAATATTTGTTAAGCACGTGAAACTCTCATTACCGGCTTTCAGGTTACGGCATGGTGCGGTAGCTGGCCGGTAATTTTTGCTCTTGTGGCAATCACTGTCGGTGGACTTCTCAGAGTGAAGGGTCTCACTTCAAGCGCGAGACAGAAGCGCAAGCGGTTGCCGCCAGGTCCGAAAGGCGTGCCGCTGCTGGGATACCTCCCATTCATATGGAAGCCATACCACGTAGCTTTTAAGGAGATCTCTGAGAAGTACTGGTCCGATCATCAGGTACGTGTTATATTTCTGTGTTTACATAAAAAATATAGAGAGAGAAACGAAAGAAAATGAGGCAGTGAATGAGACCCTAACATGATTACGTCCAGTAAAGCACACAGATGTCAAATGTCAGTTGTCAAATACACAAATGCCTTTTTATTTTGTATGTGCGTTTAGAGGCTATTATGCACGAAAAACAGGCCAATATGGTAGGAAGAGAGGTATATCAGAAATGTAATCAACAGGTGTCAATTGAAATTCTGATTGCGAATAGCATAACAGTGGCTCGATGACAATTGTTAGAAAAACACGCCAAACTTCTCGGCTTACTGGTTTACAAGAGAGAAAATAATCAGAAACAACCGTGGACGTTGCGTACTTTCTCTAATTGCCACAAGTAGCGATGTATAAGGTGTGTAATGAATGTGAATTATGAACACTCCGCTGTTAGGAAGAAAACGACGACGATGATCGGTGGATGTAGTGTTACGAAGCGCGCCTCCGACGACGTTACGAAGGGCGCTACGAATCTCACCGCTGCAACCACTGTTTACGAAAGACGGCGACGCCAACACGGTCCCGAAGGCGCCACTGCTTCGAACTCCGCCGGAAAGGTCACCAGCCGTTTGGTAGCGTAGGTTTCTCAGCTCGCGACTGCTTCTGCGCAGAGCTGATAGACGAGCGGACGAGACGACGGTGAATTAAACAAGGTTTATGTACAGCATATATACAGAGGCGTTACAAATTCGGCACTGGGGCCGACAGAGACGCGAAGAGCCGAGCTCTTCTCTCTAACACATAGCTCTACTCTCAAATGGGTCTGCTAACACATAGCTCAACTCTATATCACATAGCTCTCTCCTCTGACACACAGCTCAGCTCTCTATCACATAGCTCTCTTCTCTGACACACATGTCTGCTCTCACATAGGACTGCTACTAACACATAGCTTAACTGCGACACACATGTCTGCTCTCACATAGGTCTGCTGTCAAAGGGGTCTGCTCTCGACGCGCCGCAGGACTTCTTTTATATGCACCGGGTCCAACCCAAATGTCCAACCAGAAGCGCCGCTGGTCGTGAGGTCAGAATCCTCCAATGGGGTTGCCGCTGGGCCGCGTCCTTCTTTCTCGTCGAATCTGGAGAGGCTGCACTGCAGGTGGCTGCACCCAAGGACGAGTGACGTCGCCAGGCATTGCGTCAGACCCGACAGACAGGAAGGCGCCGGTTGCTTGCTCGACGGGCTCGTTGGCTTAGGTGACTCACTGCACGTGCGCAGCAGAAAGGCGCCGTCGCGTGATGACGCCGTTAAGTTGTTTATCGCGTCAGGCGGGCTCGCGTGCTGGCCTTGACACAGATTTCCTTTTTCCGAGGCATGGACGTTCGCTGCGGACTAGCAGGCATAACAGTAGTTGTCGCTGACATAACAATTCATAATAGTCTGTCAGCACAACTAAGCTTTTCGTTTATGAAAAAAAATAAGGCATCCCCTCTACTCCCCCCCCCCCCCTCTTTTCCCACAAAATTCAACTGCCACGCGATTCATGGCCAATTCCCCGTGTTGGGTTGAGCCATTCCTGTTGGGTCCAGCCAACCAACAAACCAACCAGCACGCGCGCTCGCTGGTAGCCAGGCCCAGTCTGATAAACAGCCTATATATCGCCAAGCTACGTTAGAACCTTTCTCGGCGTACAAAATCCCTCTTATAAGTGGTGGAGGAGCCATTGTTTCCGTCATCCTGATCTTCGCAATAGGACGCTATCATCACCGTTAACCATGACTGCCCCTGTCCCTTCGCAAGCTGCCGTACTGGCATGCCTCGGCAACTCGACCCACCAATATTTCGTGGAAACAATGAACATGACGTAGAGGACTGGATCGTCGAGTACGAAATCGTAGCTTCCAACAAATGGGACGACTGCGACGAGCTCACGAACGTGGGCTTTTACTTCGCTGATGTGGCCAGCCTCTGGTTCAAAAGCTATGAAGGTGAAATCACCAACTCGTCCACCATTAAGATCACCATCACTGTGGTCTTTAGTCATCTCGCCGTGCGCCAGCTTCGCGCGGGACAGCGTCTGTACAGTCGATTCTAGCGCAGGGACACGACCTTTACAAGCTACATCGAAGATGTCTTGTGTCTTTGCAAGTGCGTCGACGCATCCCAGGCGAAATCGACAAAGTCAGGCACATCATGAAAGAAGTTGACAACGATACCCTTCAGATGCTTGTCACTCCTGTCGCAGACGTAGTCCACCTCTGTCAAGAGTACGACGAGTTGCGTAGCAGCGTGTCTCGGCGCGCAAGGCAGCTGAAGATAACGCTGAGGTTTCCCATCGTGCACAACGTCACTGCTGATGCACCGTTGTGCTGCCTCACATCAAGAAATTCACCCGTGAAGCGCGTCAACGTTCTCTCGTAGCCTAAACATCTTTAAAGTGGGGGCGTTGTACGTCGAGTAGGGTTCAGGCGTAGCTTGGCGAGAGGCTGTTAATGAGGCAGGTCTGGCCACCTGCAAGCGCGCGTGCACGTGACAACTACACCCACCGATCATCGTCGTCGTCTTCCGTAACAGCGGAGCGTCCGTCATTCACGCTCATCACAAGTGCATTACTGAGTGTTCTGAAGTTGTCAATAAAACATGATTGATAGAGCTGCACCATTACGCCAGCAATTTTCTCTGCTGTAATTAAGAGCCCGCTTCATAAATAGGCGTCACTACACATGAAATTTTGTCATTCGTAGGCTTCAGCTTGGAATCAAGGATGTTGTGGTGCTTAACGACGTTGCAACCGTTCGAGAGGCTCTCTCGAATCCTGACCTACTGTACCGACCAGACGATTTCATGTTTAGGTATCTTGAGGGTGACAGGTACAGAAAAGCTTACAACTTCATTTTCTTCATTTTTTCCCTATTATTTACTTTTAACCTGGACTTAAGTTCGCATTATATCTATTGATGCTTTCTGCACCATGTATTACAATTTTTCTTTCTACGCAGGTATTGCTGGAATAAACGGTGAAGCGTGGCTTGTGAACCGTAGGTACTGCTTCCACGTATTGAGGGACCTGGGTTTCGCCAAGAAGGCTATGGAGGAGCACATTCGTGTGAGTAATCCTGCTTTCCCGCTTCCCGAGTCTGATTTTACATCCCGACACCACGATATGATTATGAGGAGCGCCATAGTGATAGCTACACAAATTTTGAGCATCTGATGTCCTTTAGACATCCACTTGAACCTAAGAACGTGGGGCCTGCAGCATTTTTCTTCCATCGAAATGCGACCACCCCGGTTGGGATTCGATAGCACGATCTTCGCGTCTGCAGTCACGCACATCACTTGGCCACCGTGGCGAGCACTGCTAGAGCGTAAGTTTAGAGCACGTTGATATTAGGAAACAAAGCAAGAACATGATACAAGCAAGTGTGGGCACACAGGCACCAGCCATGGTATCACTACTACTATGTAATTGCTTGGTGCGCAGAATTCTGCGAATGAAGATCCCAACAGCACGCGTGTTGGTGACCATTTGTCTACATGAAACTTCTCACTCTGTGTTTGAGTTTGAGTTTGAGTTTATTCAACCACGTGACAAGTACACGAAAATACAATGTATACGTGGTTTGGTGCGAAGGGAAAAAAGCTGCATTTCACAGCTTGACTGGCCCCTTCACCCAGAAAAAAATCTAAACTACAAATTTACAAAAAAATACAAACATTACAGGCAGCGGAAAGTGACAATACAAAAAGAAACACGCAAGTGGCCCATGACAGCAAATAATAGAATCACAACTCTAAAATACATACAAAAATATTCATAACAAAGCAATGCATGAAAGAATAAAAACTGAATAACCATTACAGAAATCAGCCCCGCCCCGGTGGTCTAGTGGCTAAGGTACTCGGCTGCTGACCCGCACGTCACGGGTTCGTATCCCGGCTACGGCGGCTGCATTTCCGATGGAGGCGGAAATGTTGTAGGCCCGTGTACTCAGATTTGGGTGCACGTTAAAGAACCCCAGGTGGTCGAAATTTCCGGAGCCCTCCACTACGGCGTCTCTCATAATCATATGGTGGTTTTGTGACGTTAAACCCCACATATCTATCTATCATTACAGAAATCACCCAACATTCATTTACAACACAGTCAGCACATCCGATTTAACATTTCAGTTTTAGACAATATACGCAGATTATCAGTTGTTAGTTTCCATTTGTTCATCATACTTGGAAGGCGGTAACGTAGTGTTTCAAATCCATAGTTTGTGCGAGGACAAGGCACGTGCCAAGTCTCCGTACAGCGAGTAACGCGACTGGCAGGATTTGGTTGCAAGGTGGCCAAGGTGCGTAAAAAGATACTTTTTCTGCGTATTTCTGATTTTAAAAGCTGACAAAAGTTGGTATTCGTAATAACAGGTAATTCTTAAAATTCTATATTTTGCAAATATTGAAGCAGTGTGTGCGTTATAGGATACACCTTCAGTGCACCGCAAGGCATTTTTTTTTTGTAACACGACCATGTTCATTAGAGATGCTTTAGAGCCTGTAGATCAGACCAGATGACAATAGTGTAAATGTGAAGAAAAAAGAGCATTGTACACTAATATTTCTTGTTTCACAGGTAGTATGTTCTGGCATCGACGCAACACACCTAGAACTTTACAAAGTTTGTGACTAATGTGTTCTGCATGGTAATTCTATGCCATATGTTCGTGAAAATGAACACCGAGAGTTTTAACTGTTTGGCAAAGTTTAAGTTCAACGTTATGAGTTGTTAGCTTGTAAGACGTTTTAAATGACCTGGCTTTCGCACGGAACAGTACAGCCTTGCTTTTAGAGCAATTAATGTGTAGAGAATTTGCCACAGTCCAGGCATATATTTTATTTAGTATTTCATTAGCAGAAACAATGAGGTCATCAGCCGTTTCCCCATAAAAAAATATACTAGTATCGTCCACGTAGATTACATATTCTACAGAGCTGTCAATACGTACAATATCGTTGATAAAAATATTAAATAACAGGGGTCCCAAAATGCTACCTTGAGGTACGCCATTCTTAATGTTCATGGATGATGACAGCTCCCGATTGATTGATACACATTGTTTCCTATTAGATAAGTAGCTTCTTATTGAAGCTAAAACGGTACCGCGAACTCCATAACAGTGAAATTTTTCTAGCAAAATATCATAATTTATTCTATCGAAAGCTTTCGAGAAATCTAAAAATATTCCTAGGGTAAGTTTTTTTGCTTCTATATTTCTTAGAATCAATTCCTTTTGGTATAGTAAGGCACTTTCGGTGGAGAGGCCTGACTGAAAACCGAACTGTGATGGCGTAATAATGTTGTGTTTATTAAAAAAAATTTGATAACCGAATGAAAATAAGTTTTTCACACCTCTTAGAGAAAACTGGTAAAATCAAAATTGGTCTGTAGTTTCCTGAATTGCTTTTGTCCCCACTCTTATATATAACCGTTATTTTAGCGTTTTTCATTCTCTGAGGAAACAGCCCAGTGGTGAACACGAGATTATAAATATGTACTAATCAGGCGCATATGAGATCTAAAATGTATATTATAGGTTCTAATTTTAAGCCGTATATGTCCTCGCTTTTACTCAATTTGAAATGCTGAAAAACGCTGATGACCTCTTGCGCGTCTGTAGGATTTGCAAACACAGAATTATTTAAAGCAGGAGGCAAATAACCTGATGAATCACAATTATGACTACTGTCAACTAGTGAGGTAAAGTACTCGTTAAATTTGTTTGCTATTACTGCGCCCTTGTATATTTTATATGTTCTTTCTCATAACCTGCAATCGGGAAGATGCCACAATGTGGTGCACGGCTGTAATATTAGAAGGTATTGGAATGTAAGTTCATAAAATATGTAGTCAGTGCCACTATCCTTCATTAATCAGCGTAGTGATCCAAAAAAACTACTCTTTTTATACATCAACAATCATTTTAGTATTGTACCTCGGTTGTCCTCCTGTGCCCTTTAATCTTTTCACTTGCACGCTTATGCTTGGTGTTCCGAAAATCAATAGCGTTTAAGTGTTTATCCAAGTATCTATATCAATCCACTAGTTAATAACATATATTTACTATTATATATATTTATTTCGGAAATATGTGGACACTCATAGATGAGTTTCCACGCCACCTTCACCTTATTTATCCATATAGAGTCCACATCGATAACATTGTCGCACGCATGGTGTGTTGTACACGCGGGTAATAGTGCGTAAGTAGGTGCGACAACCACGGCTGAAGCACAGATCAAACCAGTCGTTCAATCTTCGTCACTCGAAGAGCGCGTATCATGACATCATTTTTCGTGGGCTGCGAGCCATCGAATCTTCGAATCCATCTTAAAAAAAAAAAAAAACAGTGTGGGAGCGAAGAGCGTCAGATAAGATTTTGCATAACTTCTTGAAACTCGTTGCGCGATGGTTTGCGCCCACTCACGTGATGAAGTACGCTGACGTACATTCTTCCGTAAACCTCCAGTTAGAAAGTCAAAGCTTCCCTGTGTTCCTTTTCCTTGTCCGCTCTACGCTTCCCCATTGTTTTTGAAGATGACTTCAAGGAGCACAAAAGCATACGGTAAGCCATGGGGTAGGGGCAAAGGGGAGATTTGTTAGAGCAACAACTGTGAACTTTAACCATCACAGCACTACCACGCCACGTGCTATCTCGGCAGACATCAGCGGACGGCTCATATACTTTTAGACGTGCTGTGCTCTCAACGCGATGAGACTGGGCGAAATCTGCTTCTCTCCATGGAGCGGCCGTATTTTCTAACAACAGTGTGTAGTAAAGTTACAGGAGGCTGTATCTGAGAGTCAGCTGCCAACCTTACTTCACATACCATTACAATTTGTTGCTATTGCATTCATTGCTTAGCTTTACAGCGAAGGCTGTATATGGCTTGGACAAACGAAAACTGTCTGGCAGCGCTGTCACGCGCGATCTCCATTGACTGTCCTATCACTTACGTCATTTTCAGCATCGTATCCAAATACGATGTACCCACTGTGATTAACGCATTGCGAGATACATTTACCACTCAATACGCTATTCCACGACCGTGACAATGCGAGGCACAATGTGCGGCATGTGAGTTGAAAACTGTGGTAAACCAAAGTCAAACGTGTGTCTAATCTCATTAGGATGCACGAACATGTAACCAATAATTGTGAAAGGCTTCAGAGCCTTGTCAGGTTAAACCTACCACTAAACACTGGGACCGCACATTTCAGCTTTCACGGGTTTGCCTTTTGTACGAAGTGTTTCAGCACTGATTATTTTTTTTAATGCGAAGCATTCCTTAGCGAACTTCGGCGACCTTGCGCGTATCTATCTATCTATCTAGCCGCCGGCGACTTTTAGCTTTCCAGGCCGTTTCGATATTGGTACCGATACCAAACTTCGTATGGCATAACATGGCTGTATGAGGAACATATTTGACTAGTCACAACATGGAAACCATGACATGTATGTCATGAATGTCATGATTTACATTTCATGGTCTTGCAGCTCTTGCGGTGATTTCGTTCCCAAGGCATGTTGCAAAACCTGTATGGTATGACCTGATTGCATGGTGACCCTGAGCAACATACCCTAACATGAAATTCATTACATGTGTGTCATGTAACAAAATGACTACATGCCACGCTCATGATGCACTCACGGCCGTTTCGCTAACATATGCCAAATTCGGTATTACGGTACGTGAATGGATGACGAAGGTATGTGACTGGTGCAAACATGATAATCATGAGATGCGTGTCATGTCCCAACGTACCTACATGTCGCACTCAGGCACACTGGCGGCCGTTTCGCTGGCTTCACTTATAACAAATTTGGTATTACGGGACATGAATGGATGACGAAGGTATGATACTGGTGCAAACATGATAAACATGAGATGTGTGCCATGTAACAGCATGACTACATACTACGCTCATGATGCGCTCGCGGCCATTTAGCTAGCTTCACATGTACCAAACTGGGTATTACGGGACGCGAACGAACGACACAGGTAGATGACACAAACATGATAATCATGTTAATCACATGATTCAAACATGATAATCATGACATGCTTGCCATGTACCAACATGACTACATTCCCACTCATGATGCGCTCGCGGCCGTATCGCTAGCTTCACATATGCCAAATTTGGTATTTCGTGACGCCAATGAATGATGAAGGTATATGCATGACTGGTGCAAACATGATAATCATGAAATGCGTGTCATGTGAGAACATGACTACATGCCACAGTCAAGGCGCCAATACATTGCGACTTGATGCGGTGCACGTGCTCGCCGGCGTTCATTTCGTCACGTCACGCTGGTGTTGCCACGCCAGGTGCCGGTCCTGCTATATACTCGCAGGCACGCGCCACGCTGCGTTGTTTTGACGCATGCCCGTTTCAACGTGTCCGGCGTCCCTCCGTCACGAAAAGAGAGACGTAGTGTTGTCCATAGAGTAACATATAAAACATGCGTTTTCTGGGTAACGCATCGGCAAAGAGTAACTCCATGGAATTGGCGCGCAATGCAGCATGTCGCATTTCGCGCTGGTTGCCGTCGGGCCGCGCCGACGGACGCTGGTCACACCTGGCGTCAGACTATAGAGTGCTCGCGTTTTGCTAGCGTAGCGTCGCTGTGCCCAGCGTTCGCGCGCGTCAACGGTACATTGGAGTATATTGGGCCCTTCACGATGTGCTCGTGGTTATTTTGGTAGCTCCGCATATGCTAAATTCAGTGTTACGTGACGTCAATGGATGATGAAATATATGACTGGTACAAACATCATAATCCTTACACGCTAGTCATGTAAGAACATGAAAACATACCACGCTCGTAGCGTGCTCGCGACCGTTTCGCTAGCTCCACATTTAACAGATTTGGTAACACGTGACGTGAATAGATGACGAAGGTAAACGACACATTCAAAGATTATAATGATGACACGGAAGTCATGTACGGCATCATTTACTTCCACCTCGTAACGTTGTGCTGATTTTAAAGCGACGTATCAACATTTCTCATTTATGCTTCACATATCATTGATTCCCACTGTACGTGGGATCTGCCAATTTCTATTTCCTTCTTTCTTTCTTTCTTTCTTTCTTTCTTTCTTTCTTTCTTTCTTTCTTTCTTTCTTCTTTCTTTCTTTCTTTTTCTTTTCTTTCTCTTTCTTCTTTCTTTCTTTCTTTCTTTCTTCCTTCTTTCTTTCCTTCTTTCTTTACTTCTTTCTTTCCTTCTTTCTTTTTTTCTTTCTTTATGTCTTCTTTCTTTCTTTCTTTCTTTCTTTTTTCATTTCGCGAATCATTTCAGGAAGAACTGGAATGCTTCGTGAATGTGATCAAATCGAAGAAAGGACAACCTATGCTAATAGCCGATCCACTCGCTGCCAGTGTGGCCAACAACATCTCAGCATTAGTATTTGGACGCCGCTATGATTTGGAAGATCCCGAAGGCCGCTTCTTCGTTGGGCTGCTCAGCACCTTCCTTCGCCATGCAAAGCTATTCTGGGTCATGGACTTCCTGCCTGCGCTGCGCGTGATTTCTTCATACATCCCAGGCTCGAGACTGCGCATCATGAAGTATGTTGCAGGGGAGCTTACAAAGCTTGTGAGGTAAGTGCAACGTCTGTGTACATGTGAGTTAGGAAGTGCATTCACTAGAGCTATTCCTAGGCTTTATTGCCTTATTCTCCTGCCGGATGAAGACGAAGTGATTCTCTTGTGGAACACATCTTTCGGTCTGTGCTGTATTTTCTGCGTTCCACAGCGCAACAGCGGGGTCTCCAGCCCCCTACATCGCGGTCATGGATGTACAATCTCCGGAGATCCCGCCCGGTACCAGTTCATCCAAGGGCATTGCTTCAAGAAAGCGTGGTAATACGTCTAGTGAGAGCGAGGACACCGAGCCGTACTCTGCATCAGACCGCGAGTCCTCGGAAGACGGCTTCGAACCTGTGCTCTACCGCAAGGCCAAACGAAGAATCATGAACGCATCATCGGCATCAAGTACAGCCACTGTGAGGACAGCGCCTCAGCGATGGCCTCACTCCATTCTGTTTGTGCCGCAGACTACTACTGCCAATCTACGCTTCCTCAACAGGCAAGCACTGTCCTTGTACCTTGAAAACATTGTGCCTAACGAGATTAAGGACATCAGGATAAACACGAGGAAGAATATTTTGGCAATCGATGTGAGGAACCCGAGTGCACTGAACACGCTACAGCATGTGTCGGAGCTGGGAAACATCAAAGTCCGATCCATCATACCAGCGAATGGTGACACCGTAACAGGAGTTATCTATGACATAGACACTGAAATCACCAATGAAGATCTTCCTGTACTGATAAAACCAGTGAGCGAAAACAACGTCATTGTACATGCTGGTCGCCTAGGCAACTCTCGTTGTGTGCGAATAACATTCAAGGGTGACTGTCTTCCCTCTTACGTGAAGGTTGGCCATTTCCGTCACCAGGTTCGCCCATTTATTCCGAAGCCTATGCAGTGTTTCAAGTGCCAGAAGATTGGCCACGTGCAGGGCGTTTGCAGAAATTCCGCAGTGTGCCCCCGATGCGCTGAACACCACTCAGAAGACGACTGTAATGCAACTACGTTGAAATGCCCCAACTGCCAAGGCGCTGACAGAGCTTCCTCCAAGGACTGTCCTCAGATTAAGAAAGAGATTTATATTCTGAGGCAAATGGTGCGAGACAACTTGACCCACAGAGAAGCTGCGCAAAAAGTAAGGCGAAGGCGCCGCCATCGTCGAAGGTCCTCACGAAGGACAGTGCAAAATCTGACGACAAAGTCAGAAACTCAGGTGAAATCGACAGGCGCGGCTCCAGGCACGGCAAACATCTGCGCTGAAAAAGAAGATGCCGGAAGATCTCTCTCTCCAAAGGAATGGCCACTCCTTCAGCCTAGACGATCGGTTGAGCCTCAACAGAAGCCGCCTACACGACTTGTTGAGCCTCAACAGAAGCCGCCTCAAGGACAAGCACAAAATGCTGCAACAGCCGGGAAGCCAGATCATCGCGTGATGGTGATGCTAAGATCATTAGTGGATACCATTCACATGTTGTTAAATGACATGAATACACCGTCAGCCAAAAGTGCCCTTCAAGTACTGGACGCGCTTAGTCCTGTGCTAGCAGTCCTAGAGTAGACCATGGCTAACGCACCACTGTCTTTCAGGGAAGAGGTTCGTAAAGCAGCAATACTGCAGTGGAACGCCAGGGGACTGAGATCGCGCATTGGTGACTTTCATCAATTTGTGTACGTCAATATGTTTCCCGTAATTGTCATCTGTGAGCCGAACTTATCGAGTGCAATACGACTCTCGGGATACGAACCTTTTATGTCGTCTACTGTTACTGAAAGCAGCAAGGAACGCCAGGGGACTGAGATCGCGCATTGGTGACTTTCATCAATTTGTGTACGTCAATATGTTTCCCGTAATTGTCATCTGTGAGCCGAACTTATCGAGTGCAATACGACTCTCGGGATACGAACCTTTTATGTCGTCTACTGTTACTGAAAGCAGCAAGGTTCTGGTGTACATTCGCCAAGACCTCACTTACATCTTTCAACCTGTACCACCTCATGACGGAAACCAATACGTATGCTTAAGAGTGAAAAAGAGGAGGCTCAACATCACGGTGGTTGGCGCATACCTATCACCATCAAGCCGTTTCGATCAAAAAAGACTATGAGACATCATAGCGTTAACTCCTGACCCGTGTGTTATCATCGGAGATTTTAACGCTCATCATACATTATGGGGAAGTCAGAATACCAACATGAAGGGCAGAAGCTTGGTGTCTTTTGCCTCCGACAACCAACTTTGGTTACTGAACGACGGCAGTCCTACATTTTTACGTGGCTCCACATACAGTAGCTGTCTCGACTTGGCTTTTGTTTCGCGAAGCCTAGTGAAACATACTGAATGGTTCACGGATATAGAAACGCACGGGAGTGATCACATTCCAACATACGTCAAGATCAGAGGATTGTCGCCTCCTAAAGTGCGCGACATGGTTAAAAGACTGGACTGGAAAAAATTTCAGTCTTGTATGGAAGACCAATGCCAAAAACACATATCCGATTTACAAGAGGCCATCCAGAGCACTGTAAAAGAGACTGTGTGTACGATCCCATGCCCTGCAAGATTCATGGACATCGACATAGAGCTGGAGTGGCTTCGAGCCTTGCGACGACGAGCTGAAAGAAGGTACCGGCGCACGAAGGACATAGAAGATTTACGGACTGCTAGACGTATGCAGAAGAAGATCAAACGTCGGTTGGACAAGCTAGCATTCCAACGCTGGATTACTTTCTGCGAGTCACTCGACCCTCGTAAGCCTTTATCGCACATATGGACGACGGTTAGAGGTTTGCGGTCATCGCCCATTCAGAAGTCACCATTCAAGGCCTTAGCCCTTCACCAAAATCGACCAGATGTGGACGTTGCTGAAGAGTTCTGTGCCGGATTATCAGGGCAAACTACAGCCATCAGCAGCTCACCACTTTCGAGCAGTTGTCTGCCACCACGTGATTCCTCTATGGACTTCCCGTTCACCATTCAGGAGCTCAAAGCAGCACTCGCTTCATGCAAACGTACCTCTGCACCAGGACCTGACGGAATCTCACAGAGCCCTGTGTCATCTGGGTGAGCGCGCGAGAATAGCTCTACTTCAGCTATATAATGATTGTTGGCTAGAGGGCACTGTCCCCTTAAGTTGGAAAACTAGTCGTCTAGTACCATTACTGAAACCTGGCAAATCACCATTGGTACTCTCCTCCTATCGCCCGATCGCATTGGCCAGTTGCGTAGGTAAAGTGATGGAGAGAATGATTCTCGGCCGACTCGAGTGGTACTTCGAGTATCATCAGATCTACCCAAATGCCATGGCTGGCTTTCGACGTGGTCGATCATCGATCGATAACGTCATCAACCTAGTCACGTACGTTGAACACGAGAAAGGCCATAAGCGTCTTTGCGCCTCTCTGTTCCTTGACGTCAAAGGAGCCTATGATAACGTGACACATGAATCCGTCCTTGCCGCACTAGAAGAGATTGGAGTGGGTGGCCGAATGTTTAAGTGCATACGCAGTTATCTCCAAATGCGATCCTATTTTGTGAGTACAGAGACTGGGAACACGTCTACACATTTCAGTTGTCGTGGCGTCCCTCATGGTGGTGTACTGAGCCCCGTGCTATTCAATATAACACTAATTGCTCTCCATACGCACCTACCAAACAATATTTATCTATCAACATACGCTGATGACATCTGCATATGGACATCTGCGGTAACTCGCCTGCAGTTACGAGCGAGAATACAGAGAGCTGCTACTTCAACTGCTTTGTATCTACGCAATCGAGGCCTGGAAATTTCCTCCGGAAAGTGCGCTCTTCTGGCATTTACGCGCAAACCCATGTCGAATTACCGAGTGTCAATTAACGGTCAAAATATACCATATCGTCGATCTCGCAAATTTCTGGGTGTCATAGTCGACAGAGACTTATCATGGAGCCCTCATGTGTCGTATTTGAAAAAGCGATTGACAGGCATATGCCATCTTTTCAAGTTTCTCGCTGGAAAGACTTGGGGAATGCAGCCTAATGCTATGTTACGACTGTACAGGGTGCTTTTCCTTGGCTTTTTACGATACAGTCTGCCTGCATTATCAAACGCCAGCAAAACAAGTCGACGCATGATACAAAGCGTTCAGGCACAGGCGCTTCGAATATGTCTAGGTCAGCCTCAGGGTGATTCAACAATGGCGACTATAGCTATAGCCAAAGACCACCTCGTGCAGACCCATATTGAAATTGAAGCTTTGAGGATACACATAAGGCATGTGGGCCGGAATCCCCATCACCACCTAGCCTCTCTACCAGTGGATAGACCTCATACTTCCTTTTGTCGAACAATAACTACACATGGTGACTCCCTACCAACTGGTTTTACACCCGCGGCGAGACCTTTAATTCCTCCATGGTGCCTCAAACAGCCAGTCATCTACCTGACAATACCAGGCATTCAGAAAAAAGGTGATTTCTCAATACCAGCCCTCAAGCAGCTCGCATTACTTCTGCTTTACGAGAAGTACCAAGACTGCACCCACGTCTACACCGACGGCTCCGTCCTGCCAAACAGCTCAACTGCGGCGGTCGTTATTCCAACGCACGCCACAACCATCAAATTCAGGACAGCTCATGCAACCACAACAACGGCAGCAGAGCTTGCAGCGCTTTGCGCTGCGCTGCGTTTCATTAACGACCAAAGCACGCAACGGTGGACGATTTTTTTGCGACTGCAAGGCGGCACTGCAGTCACTTCTGTCAAATCTACGCCGTGGCCCACACGAGCAGTTCGTATTTGAAACAGCAGAAATGCTACACCACATAACAGAGAAAGGGCACCACGTTATATTTCAGTGGTTGCCAAGCCACTGTGGAATTATCGGTAACGAACGAGCTGATCAAGCAGCCCGTTCAGCCCATACAGAAGACAACGACCAGTCAATACCTCTCTCAAGAACGGACGCTGCTAGGAGGCTCCGAATGCTTGCTCGCCAACGCTCCATGGCTCTTTGGAATGAGCCTCTCTTTACGCATGCAAGATTACGATCCCTTGATCCAACGTTAAGCATGCAGCTTCCAACAAAAATTCGACGAGGCGACGCTACTGCTCTGTGCAGACTATGGTTGGGAGTCGCGTTTACCCGTGCGTACGCGTTCCGCATAGTTATGGCCGACACCGCCGACTGTGCACACTACGGAGATGAAGAAACAATTCGACATATCCTGTGTGACTGCCCGAAATACAACCTGGAAAGACAACACCTTTCTAATAAACTAAACAGGTTAGATGACCAGCCGCTGTCAGAAGAAAGGATACTGCGCCATCGTCATGACTCATCGTCACAGAAGAAAGCCGTGCAAGCGCTACTGGGCTTCTTACGAACTACTGGCCAGTCGGAACGCCTCTGAGTGGACTGATTTTGTGTGTGCGTGTGTGTCGCTGTTTTTCTCTTATTTAGTTTTTTAACTCTCCCTTTCTCTTTCAACCCCCTATTCCCCAACCCCAGTGTAGGGTAGCATACCGGATACTAGCATCTGGTTAACCTCCCTGCCTTCCTCTTTTCTCGTTTCTCTCACTCTTATTCTCCTGCCCAGGTTAAGGGTAAAAAACCGCACATCATCTAGTTGATTTCCGTACATTTTCTCTAATCCGTGTTGTTCTTTTTTTCTTTATATTGCCTGTTTCTCACAGCACCATGGAGAATAGCCAACCCAGTCAGTGCTTGGTTAATCTCTCTGCCTTTCCCATCGTTTCCCTTTCTCTGGATGAGGTAGTTTATGTGCACAAAGGGAGCGCGTTAGGCGAAACAAACTAAATTGAATTCAATCGAATTTAAGCTTATTTGTTCTGAAATACACACAGGATGCCGATACATCGCCGAAAAAAAAAAGAAACATGTTTGATCCATCCGTCATAGGAATCGGCATAACAACAAAGGGAAACATGTTCTTACAGAAGCAGTTGAGGAGAGAAGAAATGATAGAGAAGGAAAAGCAGCGAGGTTGACCAGTAAATGATAATCGGTTTGCTACCATACTCTTGGAAACGGGTGATGGGAGATCGAAAGACAGAGAGGCATTGAATGATACTTTTTAAAAAACCAAAGTTACATGCACAGTTGGTTTTCTTGCGACATGGTTAAGGCATGCACCGAGAGAGCCGGAGCAGGTTAGGAGTTCAGAAAGCGATGCACATGAGGCGTGATCACGCTATCACGACCTACTCTTGAACGTGAACTTTAATGCCCATCATTTTTTTATTTTATTTGCAGAGCCGAAGTGCAGGAACGAGACGGCAACATGGACAACTATGCAAACAGAGATTTTATTGACGGATATTTGAGGAAGATTCAGGAATGCAAAGGAACCGATTCCCATTACACAAGTAAGAAAAAAGAACAATATTTTTGGCTATGCTACCTTGGCCTCTCCGGCATGTTTCTATACTGAAGAATATCGTCAACTATACACCCTCTCTGCGAAAAATAAAAATGGGTAAACGCGAAGCGCTCACTTCTTCACTATGTGCCCTTGCTTGGAAAATTCAAAAGAATAATTCGCTCATTCCAAGTAGCTCTGAAAAGTGGCTAGCTAAACATGCAGTACTTTTGGAAAATTTTCATGTGAAATTCTTTTCTTGTAGAGAAACGAACTCGCCCACATAACAGGGAATCCACACGCAGGTATCTTCCCTAACAAAAGCCTTACACGCTTCATCTAGACAGATGTGCGCGAGAAATAGGAGCACAAAAGGAAGACACCTGGACACAGCACACAAATAGAAGAGCTTATAATATGAGCAGACGGATTGTATTATAGACGTGCTTCCAAAAAAAATGGCCCCGTATCTGCATGTCAATCTCCAAATGTCGTCGAAAGGCGATAGTCCTGCGTGTGGACAGAGTGAACAAAACATTTATTTGATGTTCTGTGCAAGACAATCAGTGAATGGTAGTCTGGGGGCGCTGCGTTAGAGTGCGTCGAGCGTGCAGAGGAGGTGAAAGAGCGCACCAAGTGACGTCACACGTAAGACATGAGCGTTATCTGGCAGTTTTCTTGGAAAACGAAGCGCGCGACCCTGAGACAGGCGTTCGCGCCCGTCTCAGAGGCGATAAGGTGTAGAACGCAAGGCGACAGGTAGGTACCGCCACCGTGTCGTCTTTAGCAAAGCGTTGGAAACACTCTCCTTTTCGTGCAAGCGTTGCATGGTCAGCGCAGCGTGATAAACGCTAGGGTTCTTAGAATTACTTATCTATGCCTTTTCTAGTAAAAGACGCACATGCCGAATATATACGTGTTGTTATGGTGCCTCAGATATCCGCAATAATTGCTTTTTATTGACAATCGTAGAAGTATAAACGCTGAATCTTGAGCAACATTGGCGGGCGCTGCGGACGGGGTCGGCAGTTTGGGGTATCGGTTGATGCCACTCAAAGTACCCGGTACCGTTAAGGGTGGACAAACAGGCAAAAGTACAGACAGACAGACAGACAGACAGACAGACAAAATAAAATTTTTGCGTTGAAGGTCCCCAAGAAAGACTATCGTCTTTAAAAGCTACCTCAGCGGCAAATAACGTGACCAAGGGATTCGTGACACATGAACCACCTGCTTTGTCGATAAAATACGCTTATTCGATTTCACGTGCTGCCCTGTCCCTGAGTTTACCGTATTGCAGTACGACGGTGCGTAGCCACATTCAATACAACGCAAAGAAATGTATGAGCACCGCTGTCCATATGATTTGTGATCCAAAAAGCCATTCTTTATACAACGCTCTGCCTGTACAACATAACGCTTTTCACACAAAAGCGCAATGTCGTACACGACAGGAGCGGTGCAATAAATCTCTTTGGCCCTGTGCTTGACTTGGCAAAAACCCTTGTCTTGTTTCTTACTATCGACCTTCCTCTCCACAGTCACACAAGCCAATTCGTCCAGCCGTCCATGCTTTTCGCGCTAAATTTCATTTAAAGTGAAAAGTGACTGTAGGCGTCACTGTCAACAGGAGTGGTGCAAGAAGTGACACGATGACATTGCCTTATGACGTCATCATGACTCTGCATGACAACGTCACTTTGTCATCAAAATCCGCTGAGAAAAAGGCTTTCGAATAATAGTCCTCTTCCGGAAGTGCATAAGAACCACGCGAGTCTTTTTGTATCTTAAAATGCTTGCATTTGGCTCTAAACTTACTAGCTCACAGTTCTAATCTTCTTACGTGATGTAATTACCATTCATTAATAACACACTGACAAAAGCTTGTAAATGTAAAGCGTATTGTGTCTGATTGCAGCAAAGCACCTGGAAGGCAACGCGATCAACTTCTATGGTCCTGGAACTAACCCTGTGCGGACAGTGGCCATGTGGAGTCTGTATATCGCTGCCAGCGACCCAGAGGGAATGCAGGCTCGCGTGCAGCAGGAAATCGACTCCGTCGTAGGTCGACGGAGGACGCCAGCATGGGAGGACAGGGTGAACATGCCGTATACCAAGGCATCCATCCTGGAAACAATGCGCTGGAGAACGCCTACGCCACTCAGTCTACAAAGAGCGTGAGTTAATCGGCTATTGAATAAGCGACAGAAATGAGTTTCCAATGCCTGTTAGTCCCGCATTCAGCCTCAGTGTTGGCGCTTTCGATCGCAACACGCAATAAGTGACCGTTTCCTTGGGCTGCTCTAAAGTATATTAGTGTGGCGGAAACTGGACAAAAGCGCTGTCATTAGATTTTGTGCGCTCTAGCAGTTCGAATTTGTGAAGATGTGACCACCGTATCCTGTGTACTTCAGCGGCGGACTGCCTTCACTTCATATACTGGTTATTTTTAGAGTCGCGGAGGGAAATCGTGGATACGATACGAAATAATAAGCTCTGCAGTTTTACTTACTTCAGAATTGACAGGCATTCTTAGCCATCGTAACAATAATTTTGGCCATGGTTTGTTGACTGTTCCTTTTTCTTTTGGTGCCAAGTATTTACAAGTTAAGCACTTTGTCCTCACTAGAGCGTCCTTACTGTAGTTGAACGAATATCTGTATATTGAAACAAGCTCGCCTTCCTGCCTCTATCTCTCTCTAGTGGTGATGTGATAAGCTACTCACTTTCAAACTTTTTTTTTGTATTGTAGAGCAGCGTCCGACACAACCATCGGGGGCTATCACATACCTGCTGGAACATTGGTGGTACCGAACATGTGGAGTCTTAACAACAACCCGAAGGAATGGACTAACCCGTCTCGGTTCGACCCAACACGTTTCCTCACTGCTGACAGCAAGAAGGTGGACGAGAAACCATTGTCCTTCATTCCTTTTAGCGTAGGTAAGGACGCTAGTTTGCCACACAGACTCGTTTTTGCAATGGCTACTCTGCATGGCTATAGGCGTTCACCTGGTAAACATTTGTAAAGGCCACGAATTTCAGCAGCGGTGTCTGGATTAGCCGTGGTGTCCGGGCTTGTGGCCGGCCCCGCCGCGGTGGTCTAGTGGCTAAGGTACTCGGCTGCTGACCCGCAGGTCGCGGGATCCAATCTCGGCTGCGGTGGCTGCGATTTCAATGGAGGCGAAAATGCTGTAGGCCTGTGTGCTCAGATTTTGGCGTACGTTAAAGAACCCCAGGTGGTGAAAATTACCGGAGCCCTTCACTACGGCGTCTCTCATAATCATATGGTGGTTTTGGGACGTTAAACCCCACATATCTATGGAGCTTGTGGACATTTCTTTCTGCTGCAGAACATGACGCAACGACTTCAAGTTCTGACATTTAGGTAGATTTGCAGTAAAAAAATGGTGAAACTCGCCGACCGAATCATTGATTGATTTGGGGGGTTTAACGTCCCAAAACCACTATTTGATTATGAGAGACGCCGTAGTGGAGGGCTCCGGAAATTTCGACCACCTGGGGTTCTTTAACGTGCACCCAAATCTGAGTACACGGGCCTACAACATTTCCGCCTCCATCGGAAATGCAGCCGCCACAGCCGGGATTTGATCCCGTGACCTGCGGGTTAGCAGCCGAGTATCTTAGCCACTAGACCACCGTGGCGGGGCCCTACTGAATCATGTGCGCTTTCAAGAGCCTCATGCGAGTGAAAGTGCAGCGCCTTCCACATGGGTCTCTCTCGTAGGTCGTGAATTTCAATGAAATGTCCATAGGCACGCGTCCATTAATCACTCCGCCTTTGATACGCTTTCATTTTTTTAAATAAATCTTGTCTCACTCACTCGGTCGTCTCCCTTTTTGCTTTGGCAACCAACATAAACGTAAACAAGTTTGCGAACGCAGTTTAACTATTTTTTCGCGTTATTGTCAAATGAGGTTCTCAGAAGCAGCTCTGCTACATCGCGTTTCACTTTGACTATTCTTTGTGTGTTTCGTAGAGCCCCCGTTCGTTTGTCGGTCGCCTTCCTTTAATTTTTCTTTCTAAATGTCGATTGTTAAACCGGCGAGGTCGCCATCGTATGATTACGACTACATTCACACTCAGAGTTGTCTAGGTCCTGAACGGATCGTAACTGCTCTTATTTACCTCGCAGGGAGAAGGGCGTGCCCGGGAGAAGCGCTGTCTCTCATAGAAGTCTTTCTGTACCTCACCACCGTGCTGCAGAAATTCAAGGTGCTACCCGAAGAAGGAAAAACGGTCTGCCTAGACGTCAAGCATGGTCTCCTTTCGCTGGTAGACGAGACTCAACCATTACGATTCATACCACGTTGATCGAAGAAGCCTGTAGAACAACATTGTGAATTATAAACCGCCGTCACCTACTTTACATTCAACGCGGACATGTGTTTAGCGTCAAGTATTCTGAGTTACCCGAGTGTTCCCTTTGTTGATAACAATATAATAGGGGCTTTTAGTTGACCGTATTTTGACCGTATTTTGACTGTGCTATATGGTCAGGCGCTGAGCGAATAATCACGTGACGCGAGGAGGAAGAACCAAGATGGCAGCCTCCAGTGCAGCGAGTCCGCGCTGCTCGGGAAACGCATTGGTTGTTCGGAAAACACTCAAGCACCGACGGCACTTCAAGACACACAAGGATCTGTACTTCGTCCGAGAAGTCATCGACGCCAATCCCTTCGAGATGCCGCGCATATGGAGTGAAGTTCGACAAAACGATCTAGAGCTGACACTTAGGACCTGACACTTTGGACCATAAAGGAGTGTCTCGAGGTTCTTCTTTAGCCCTTGCGTCAAAAGGATTTCCCAAATCTTCGATAGTAAGCAGTTTAATGTAACATTAGTAACAATTTATTTTTTAACAGCAGCCACTCTTCCACCTATTCATAAAAGTTTTTTTTTAGTTTGATTTGCCCCAAGGCAACGCTGTGAACGTGCCGCCTCAAGCCACGGCGTTTGAAAGACGTTTGGGCTGCCTTGAAGGCCTCGATTGTAGTCCAGCTGCAAGTGAGGGTGTCAAAAAATTAAAAAAAATGTTCATGCGTCAAACAGTAAATGAATTCACACCGTTTTAAAACAGAGTTTGCTATCTTGCTGCAAGATAGGAACTACGTTTATTTTCTTTTAAAACAACTTTCATGCACCGGTGGCGTCGCGATAGCGTTGACCGAACGACACTTGGCTAAAACTGAAAAAGTGCGTTGCACTCCAGTAAGGTTGAGCGTTTGAGCGGAACGGGGAACGGAGCGCGAAACGGTCAGCCGAAAGTGCCTAATGTTCTTTCTGTTTTAGGGGCGAAGCTCCTTATAGCAACACCCGTTCGGCCCTCGTAGTCGTTGTAGCAGTGTGTAACAAGTATAACATTTTGACCTCCAAGGTGGTGCCGGTGAGAGATTTCTTCTGTGCGTTGCTGAACAATAAAAGATAGTGCTCAATGTACATGCCAATGGCTGCTAAGGGGGAATGAGATACAGGAGAATTCGGCTTTTAGTTAATGCGCACGCTGCGAATTTTTTATTGTTCAACAACGCACAGAAGACAAGAAAGGGTTGCTACGTTATACTCGCTGGGCGTAGCCTCCTAGGTTTTAGAAAGATTTAGCGAGCGTTGGGCCGCAGTGCCATGAATACAGTGAACTAGTATATACCATGAACTCGAGGTGGTTAGAGGTGGGAAGTAGACACGAAGCGCAAGCCGTAAGAAAGTGTGCGTGTGCCTCCTCTCGTTCAGTCCTTGGAATGTTCGCTGGATGGCGGTGCTTCTATATGAGGAATAAATGATGAAAAGATGCGAGATGGTGGTACTTGGAGTGTTGAATAGGTGGATGAACGGACAAACAGACAGATGCATGGACGGACGCACGGATGGCTGCATGGACGGATGAACGCATGGACGGACGCAGGAGTGGATGCATGGATGAAAGCAGGGACGGACGCACAGATGAACGCGTGGACGCACGAACAGACACACGCACGGACTGGCGGATGGACGCACGGGCGGCAACACAGACGCACGCAAGGATGGACGGATGCTTCGCCCCACTATCCATCATTCACTCCGTGGATATGCTGCCATTTTTTCCGTAATGCTTGGGCATTGGTGGGAAATACTTAGGCCATTAGGCCAATATTATAGCATATGAGCGCGCGAAAATATCAATCAGTCGATAAAAAACTAACTAAATAACTAAATAAATAAATAAATAAATAAATCATCTATCATATTTCTCACCATTAACTGGATGCATGTTTAAATACATTTAAAAGCATGATTTTTCACTTTGCTAATACAATTCCCCATTTTGAAGTTACGCTAAGCTTTTGAAGTAGGGCTTAATACAAGGCTAAGAAATGTGGTGCATGTGCACAGAAAATCAATCAATCAATATAGACGCATTGGTGTTATACGAGGTAAAATGTCAGGCTCGTTTTTTTTCTGTTTTCATTCGCATACTTTGTGACATACTGGGTTTGTGTCACAGTTTCAAAGCTGGATGTGATTTAAGCGGGTAGCGTTAAAGAGATCGTTTCACACTAATTCCGGCATCGGCATTGGTGGTTCCGTCACTGGTTGCGAACAAAAAACAATCATCTTGTACGTGACCAAGAAATCGAGAAAGATCAAAATGCAGCGCGCTTATGTGGTCCTGCAGATCACGTGTTTTGAATGAAGACCACCAATCCACCACCAAAATCACCAAAAACCACTCGTCTCTTCCACTGTCACGCGAAACACATTCGGTCGTTACCACGAAACTAAAACATGTGAATTTTAAGGCGACAGCCTGCTTCTTGCTAGCCACGCCAATGCGACCACTGTTCACAGATTTGACAGTGAATCCTCTCGATCGAGAGCAAACGAGCGTCAAACGGAGGGATCGAAATAGCGGTGACACATTTCCATCCGTGCCGCGAGCATATGAGAGCGGATGAAGCAAGGACGGCACGTTTCTATGACGCGCACGTCACGTGATGCGCCGTCGATTGATTGATTGATTGATTTGTGGGGTTGAACGTCCCAAAACCACCATATGATTATGAGAGACGCCGTAGTGGAGGACTCCGGAAATTTTGACCACCTGGGGATCTTTAACGTGCACCCAAATCTGAGCACACGGGCCTACAACGTTTCCGCCTCCATCGGAAATGCAGCCGCCGCAGCCGGGATCCGATCCCGCGACCTGCGGGTCAGCAGCCGGGTACCTTAGCCACTAGACCACTGCGGCGGGGCATGATGCGCCGTCCACTGCAAAAAAAAAAAAAAAAAATTCCTCTTCCCTTTCCTCGTGTGAATCCACCTTAAAACACAGACGTTGCCCGATCTGCGATTTACACAGAGTAAAACACGCTTAGGCTGTAAAACGCTTGCATTTGCTGGACTCTTGACAATCTTGCTTCAAGGAAAACTACAAGAAAGACGTGTTTGCCACCGGGCCCAAGAGCATGCCACTTCTTATATATCTTCCACTCATATGGAATCCATGTAGTGCTTTGTAACGGGCAACCACTTACTTTATTCGATTGATCAGGCATGAGATAGGCATTTATGTTAAACGTTCTTGCAGTAATAGTTTTGTAACGTACTTATTTAGCAAAACCTTACTTGATGCTTCACCGTCTTTCAAGTCACCGACTTGGAAATCAGCTGGTCGGTGATTTTCGTCTTGTTGGCAGAAAGCGAGACGTGTGCCACCAGGCCCCTGAGAAATTCTACTTTCTATCTGCTATTCATATGGAAACCATACCACGTAACATTCAAGGAGCTGAGCAAGAAAGATGGTACCAAAATAGGGTGCTGTTAAAAAAAACAGTAAAAAAATCTGATTAAGATCATAAGGATTCGACTTCAGTTACAGTATTTATTTGTGTTTTAATAAGATTTTAATGTATAAATGTTTATTAAAATTCAAATGGTTTGATGATGATATGGCCAACCATGCTTAATCAGGTTTTTTGCAATCACTTTGGTGTTTGCCTAATTAGCTTAGTTGTGCATATTTAGCCTAATTATGCCACCTTAAATTCTAGTATAGAGGGTACTCTAGTTGGATTTCAGACTAATATTCAGTCATAATAAGTATTTATGTCAATTAGCACTAAATATACATAAATGACCTTAATTAATAGGAAGTTGGTAAAGAGAAATTAGTATCTTCCTGGCATTGACTTCTGTGGGCTCATGGAGAAGTCGACATAGATTAATTGGCCACGATAAGGTTTGCCTTGTGTAGGCTAATTTTGCATGGCTAGGTTATTGATGAGCACGTTCAACTTTGTTTAATTAGATTTGGCTATAGTCATTTCAACTCATCTGGGCTAATCTAAGCCTAACCGCTTAACATGATAACACCAAGCTGGACTAGACTTAAGTAAACCTACTTATGCCTGACTTATTTTGGTCATAAAGTGCTCGACTACATTTGATTGATTTCATCTACAATAATTTTGACTTAACTTAGCCTATTTAAGTGCAACTTGGATTAGCCCAACAGAGGCAAGCTGACATGAGAAAATATTTTTGTGCGTTTGGCTTCGTCAGGTTGTGTGACGCTCGCTATGCTTACTTATCCTAATCAACCGGTGTCAATAACAACCCGAGCCGGCGCTTGAAGCGGCCCCGTTGCAGCCGCTACGTAAAAGAACAGCACAGATTCGATGGAGCATAGAAAGCGGCACCCATTTTTCGTTTCGGCTTCGAGCGTCGTAACCGCGTCCAACAGAGCGACATGAGAAGCCAAGTGATAAGACGGGACGCGCATGCGCCCTGCAACAGGTGTCTCGTCGTGTCTCGTCGCTAGCTGGCGCGTCGATGCGTTCTGCCACGTGATCACATAGTCTCCTGTACAAATGTTGCACGCACAGACCTAAGTTGAAGAGTTACACATGTTTATACAACCAGTTGTTTGCGCTTTCGGAATGATGCCAACTGGAACATGCGTATTAGCAACACCAGAAGCTGATGTGAAGCGATGATGCTCGCGATGATGCTGGCCCTGGACACTGCTTCATATATCAACTTCTGCGCATGACAACTAACAACAATTGGCATTAAGTCGACGTGGCGGCTGTATTAAAGGAATACATATGTAATGTTTATAAAATTTGGTAGGCAACACTGCAACCACTATTGACGTTTCACGAAGATTAGCGTCTATTTGAAAAGTAGTTCCGAGACCTGGCGTAGACCTGAGGTAAAATGCTTCATAGCCACGTGGAATGCTTTGGTTCGAATACACCTGAAACCCTGACATTTATTATTTGCATTCGTCGGGTCGATGCTACCGATGTTGGGTATTTCTTAACGCTCACGCGTTAAAATTTTCCATGTGTGTTCTCGTCGTTCCTGGGTAGATACTAAGTGTCAATAACCAGTGGCACATACCTTCCCGTGCGTATGTGCCATTGTCTGGCGGGAAGTGTTTTACGACGTACATGACGGGATTGTGACATTATTCATGTTTTGACCAGTACGTCATATTCGTCAAATCATCTTACCCTTCCTTGCTAATTTTTGTTCACGCCATGGGGGTGACCATGAGAACACCTAAACGTAAGCAGATAGATAGATAGATAGATAGATAGATAGATAGATAGATAGATAGATAGATAGATAGATAGATAGATAGATAGCATTCTTGGCCGAGTAAAGATTGCGTTTCACGCCCAATCATGACTAATTCCTGCCAATATTCGTGCTTCCCACCGTTGCTTTTGCGCCCCCTAGAAAATAATGTTAGCGTCTCAAGAAAGTTCTTTTGTCTCTAAAATATGGAAACCAAGTATGCACTGAAATTTAGTAAATGGTTTCTTGGTTTTGTGTAGTTCCAAACTCCCGGTACCTGCTCGGCCATGCTTTTTTTTCTGTAATAAATCTCAGCTCTTAAAAGTAGCTTCATGTTATTTCCTTTGAAAATTGAACATTTTATGTATTTCCTTCCAAACAAATTAGGATTTCTTGCATGATGGTCATGCGAAAAAGTACATGTTTAATGCACTTGTGCAATCGAAACTAAAATCGCATGGAAACAGACTATACTTGTCGTAGTAACACATGTACAGAAGCTTCGCCCACGTAGCTTTTGCTGTGCTGCCACAGAAAGTTGTCGCTGAGTATACACATGATTTTCTTCGGTGGGCGAAAACTTAATTTTCTAATTTTTCTCTTTTTACATTCCTTGCGTTTTGATCCGCCTGTATATTCCTTCCCCTGTACAGAGTAGCAGACCAACAAAACCGTCTTCTGGTTATAACCTATCTGCTTTTAACTTAACCTTTCTCTGTCTCTCTTTCCACACTAAAGCAAGCACATGCATTTCTTCGTGGCAACGACCAACGTAGTCTGATTCCCTGATAACATGGCCGCCATGTCGTGTTATGAATAACACGCTCTGTTCTTTATTGCATGTAATTTGAACCAAGCATGTTTTACTGCAGTCTGGCAAAGTTTATCTCTCTTAACGAAGTGAAAAAACAGCGCGTAACACAGGACACAGGACAGAGAAGAGACGGACGAGGCGCTGACTTACAACCAAAATTTATTTCGTACAGGGGTGTATATATAGCACACGAAACTTGAAAAAAGAGGGAGAGAAGTCGAGTGACATGAAAGAGTAATTTTCGTTATGATTGTATGCGAGCCACCAAAATTTTGCGAGCCACCAAAATTGGACCAAGTAGAGCTTTTGAGCTTAGTAAGGAGCACGGCGGCACGAGCCTCTGTTGATAATAGAGACAGGTGCATTCAAGAAGGCGTGGATTGTTTGTTGCCAACAAAGCAAACCGGAACATCACGTCAGCCTTCCGTGATTAAGTCGCTACGCGCTGCAGATCTCAAGCTCCTTCAGGCGGACAAAGAAGGCGGTTTTGTCCTTGCCCCGACAACCGTCTACAAAGAAAAGGCGGACGCTGCTGTCACCGAAAACTTCCAAGTCGCGAATGTAAAACCTTCCAAGGTCAAGGCAACAGCTAGCAAACTTTGTGAAGAGGCTGGCCTTCAAAAACTGGCGTCATCAGTGAGAGCAGCGAGGGGTGTGAACCTTTCAGTGTTCTTTTCAGCAAAGACGCACAAGCCGGAAGTTCCCTTCCGCGTCATTGTCTCGGAACAGGGCACATGGCAGCGCCTGGTGGGAAGGTACCTGCAGCGTTCCCTATCTGTCCTTCCTGTGGAAGACCCTTGCCTCATCAGAAAGCCTCAAATAGTATCCGAATTTCTTCAACAAGAGTGCCCTTCAGAAGTGAGCTTCTTTTCTGTGGACGTAAAAGACTTATACTATTCCCTGCCGTTGGACCAGGTGTACGCAGAGGTGAGCGACTGCATAGACCGCTATGGGAACGTCAAATTTCAGGACTCGTGCGGAATTAGCGTCAGAAACTTTTTAGAAATGTTGACCTTTTATTTACGTTCTACATTTATAAAGCATGATGACAAACTTTATATTCAAAAAGAAGGTGTTTGCATAGGTTCCTGTCTCGCCCCGATCCTAAGTGACATTCTTTTAGCCAAATATGACAGATCTCTCATTAATTGCCTACAACTGACGAGCGCCGTGAAAGTGTTTAGATTTGTTGATGACTTCTTGATTTTGTACCGGTCCAACCACTCTGAAGCTCAGCAACGTGCTGATCAAATTGTTGATGTGTTTCGCACTTGCTTGGGCTCACTGCAACTAACCACTGAATTCCCCATTGCTAACAAACTCCGGTTCCTTGACATTGAAGTTTTTTTGTCCGACCACGTGTGCTGGCAGTATGCCCCCCGCTCCAAAAAAGTTTGCTACCCTACAGTTCTGCGCATTCAAAACTTGTAAAGCGAGCGATTGCAAAATCCTGTCTAAAGGCGGCCCTGATGCGGTCTTGCCATCACACATTGTGTACTAGTTTTGAGTCACAGGTGCGCAGATTGCGCAAGGCAGGGTACCCGGATAACATACTGTGTTCCATAGCTGAAAGTATCTTAAAAGACATCAAACAGCTAACCGAACCGACTAGTGGTCAAGAAAAAAGTTCTTTTCAAGAACAGCAGTCATTCCTTACTTGCATAAGGTGTCACATTGTTTAAAAAAGGTAGCACAAAAAGCTGGAATCAGAGTTGTTTTTTCAGCCAGAAATAAGTTCTCTAGTATGTGCCATCAGGTGAACAGAGAGGACAGAGGGCCTCGCGTGTGTGATAAAAAACACGCAATCAAGTTTGTTGAGTGTTGTTTTTGTGCCATTTATGAAATTCCCCTCTCTTGCGGCCGCTGTTACATCGGGCATTCTGGCCGCTGTATAAATGACCGCCTCAGGGAACACAGCAATCTAATGCGGGGTTCTGTTGGCAGCCACTTAGCTGCGCACAGCTCCATTTGTGGATGCCGTGCATTGTTCGACAAATGCAAGATACTTCGACGCTACAGAGATAAAAGGACACGTGAGATTTATGAGGCATTCTGCATAATCAAGAAAGGCGATATGTGTGTCAGTGCACCTTCGATAACGCTCCTCACCAGGGAATTGGCGTATTTGACAGCGAATGATTGCGCAATCACAGTTTATTTGTTATACGCATACAATCATAACGAAAGTACTCTTTCATGTCACTCGACTTCTCTCCCTCTTTTTTCAAGTTTCGTGTGCTATATATACACCCCTGTACGAGTAGCAGACCTACAAAACCGTCTTCTGGTTATAACCTATCTGCTTTTAACTTAACCTTTCTCTGTCTCTCTTTCCACACTAAAGCAAGCACATGCATTTCTTCGTGGCAATGACCAACGTAGTCTGATTCCCTGATAAGATGGCTGCCATACCATGTTATGACTAACACGCTGCGTTCTTTATAGCATGCAATTTGAAACAAGCATGTTTGAGTCTGGAAAAGTTTATCTCTCTTAAAGGGTGAAACAAAAAGAAACGTCGGGGGGCAGACAAGGAATCCTGATTCTGCACACTCATATATTGCGAAGTCGAGTACAGGGCCACGGGACAGAACGCACAACCTAGACTACGACGAGGAAATTCTGTCTCCGGCATGGAGATCCATGCTCGACATGGCTGGCTTCAACAAGTACGTTCTATTCATATTCATGTACATATATCTTATCATGCGTTATAAAAGTTGAATATGGGAAACGTATTATTATGTATGATTATGGAGTAAGTAATAACTGTTCCCAGACTACTTTTAGTTTCGTTTACTTTAGGTTCAAGTCAGCTACCTTTCCTTCCGATTGTGTTCAAGATTGTGCCCTTATTGTTAGTCCACCAATCATCACACCTCATTGTTCGTAATAACAAGGTGGTAAATGAAAACGAAAGGAAAGAGTCTGACAGTTACGTACTTCAAGTACGACGCTCTATACACACCAAAGTATGAATGAAAAGTACTTTGATGCAGGAGCTCTCGCAGTCTGTAACAATAATACTATTACAAAAACAACACCTAGTGTTTTATAATTAGGAGTGATTTCACTACGCAGAAAATTCAGCTTCAGCTTTTTCTGCGGGTCAGTCGCATTGTTTGTCCTATCACCTATCTGTGGTATGCCAAGTGGCTTCATGAAAAAGTATGAATGTGATTGAAAAAAAGGCAGAATGCGGGGCCAGAGAGCCTCCAGTAACATATACTATGAGTGTGTCAGATTAAGCTTAAAATGTAACTTTTCTAGCTTACGTTCGACTAAAAAGCCAGGATAACTCGAACTGCAACCTGTCCACTCTCCTACTCCTACTTCACCTGCATAAGGCTTCAATATGCGATGAGAGTCCGTGCAACAGCTTTAGAACAATATCGTAAACATGCACGCCTGCTTCAGTGATTAGCAATAGGAAAGTTTATCACAGCATGTGATCCTTGATTCACGAGTGTCCAGTCACTTATCGCTAACGAGGTCGCAAATATAATAGAAATTTGCGTTTGTAGATTTGCAGTCTTCAGTGGGAGAGGTCATCAGCATACTACTGCCCCATGCTCTCATTTTTCCCCTGTTGTCTGTTTACGCTTGAGAGAAGTGGGTCAGGGTCCTTTCGCTACGCCTGAAATCATCGCACTTACCTCTAATTTCTAACTGCCATAGTCGAAAACCAGCCCTTTTTATTTTACCCGTCATAGCTTTATGCGACACTGTTCATTAATTTAAACAGTCAGTTTCTTGTCTTTGGACTAGCATGTCTAGTAAAATTAGGACCATATCCCCCCCCCCCCACCCCCCCGCTCCTTCTTCAGTACTTTGACTACTCCTGCCATAGAAATATCGTTATTTCTTTTAACAATTTTAGTTGTGAAAGGGAAAGAAGACAATCAAGGGTGGCTGTCTTCCTTAACTTTCCTAACCCTCCCGCCATCTTGCGGATTTCCGCAGAACTCATTTGCAACATTTCCAGTGTTCAGGATGTGGATTTCACTGACTTTTTCGTAATAACCGTGACCACGTTCTCCGTCATAGTTTTGTTTATTTTCCCTTTTAAACATTAACTACCCCCTCTTGGAATAATACAAAAGCACTGCGTGCATGGTAGAAGGTGCGCTTTCACCCTGTATCATGGCAAAAATACAAGCTCGAAACAGCTACCCTAGTGAGCTACGTACATACCGGGAACGCTTCAAGCTTGCAGACATTTTCTTCCTCTCCTGCATCTTCTTCTGACTTTTATTCAGTCAAACAATCATAATGATTATACCTTCAGATATTTACATGGGAAACGGCCTGGTTGCTATCTGCGTTGTGCCTGGCGCTGTTCACTTTCCTGCGCTTCGTGCGATCTTTAGCGGGACGCCGCCAGGATGATTCCAAACGTCTACCTCCTGGACCAAAGGGTGTACCAATATTAGGCTACATACCCTTCATGCGGAAACCACTTCATATAATTTTCCACGAGCTCAGCAAACAGCATGGACCGATTGTGAGGTAGGTGCCTCTAAGCCGATAAGCCGACATAAGACATCTCATTGAACACATTGTGTTGTCAGTGTGTCTTTTCCGTACTCTTTTGCAACCGACAGTGTGACGGAACCGCGCTGAGCCAACACCCTTTATCCAGGTGGTGTTGGCTGAGCCAGTGCACCGGGCAAGGGCGCACGTCTGAGATTTGGGTCGCATGCGCGCATAGGGACGCATGGGATACAATTCGCGCCATCTGTTACAGCGCTGGAGCGGGCCGCAGCCAATGTGAGCGTCGCGCTGCTCTTGCTTGGGTGTGGTACAACAAGAGCGGCTTGCTCATGTGCGCCAGCACCGTTTCGATTACATGCGCGGCCGCACCGGATGATGTGGCCCTCCAGCGCCGCGCCGGATGCAGTGGCGCTCCACGGCGCGTTGTCGAACTTAGCCTTATTCACACTATAAGAAACAGCACTCTACATCCTGTACTTTTCGTTCTTTGCAAAAAAGCTTTAGGTGCTGAGTGGTGGCGAATTGTATGTACGCATATAGACGTATGACATATACACCTGGATAATCTGGTTTATATATGTAGGCACACATGTGCATGGTTATATAAACGCACATATATTGACGCTTTATTAATCATTACCTTGCTGAAGGCTTTTTTTGCAACGGTTAATATTCTGAAATCAATTTATGCAGTGAATCCAAGGTCAGTCGATACTTTGGAAGGTAGATCATTGAGTATAACAGACCACGCTTGTGGAGAGCTGCAAATCATGTTCACTTAGTAGTCGAAAGATCTTTAATACAATGAATTGTTTTATGTCCTTTGCTGCGGACACACAGCCACAGTAATTGGAGTAAGTATTATTGGTACGCTTTAGGCCTATACGATAAAGGTACATTTTCGTGAATCTTTCCGACCCTTTTCCCCACCCCCGTACAGGGTAGCAAACCAGTTCGTCTATGTTAAACTCCCTGTCTCTTCCTTTTATTTATTTCTCTCTTTCTTCGTGAATGCTATATATGTATACCTTCAGCCGAAGGCAATGAAAAAGAAAAGCACTCGGGGACATTGCTGTTGATGTTCCACATCATTGCGTATCTCGAGACATCATAAAAGCATGCAATTTGCAGGCTTCGCCTTGGCTGCAAGGACGTGGTTGCACTAAACGACCTGGAGTCCATCCGAGAAGGACTGTCAAATCCCGACTTGCTCTACAGGCCAGGACGATTTCATCTTTCGTTACCTGGGGACAAGAGGTTAACTAACATCCAGTGCTGTCACATCTTTGTGCCCCTGATTTATTTGCACACTTGCAACGTAAAGCTCAAATCACAAACCAACAATTTTAACGAATGTATTAGCCTAATAGTTAATTGTTCTGACAGGTATTTTAGTTCTGAACGGAGAAGCGTGGCAAGTGAACAGGAGGTACACTTTTCATGTGCTGAGAAATCATGGATTTGCGAAGAAACCCATGGAGGAACATATTCAAGTAAGGAACTGTGACTCGACAAGGCCAAGAAACTAATAAAATGTTGACGTTAACGCCTAAAGATGATGGCTATAATTTTTGTTTGATAACATTTCACCGATTGCTACCTAATTTGACGAACTGACTGCGACATGCGCCTATCCTGGAGCTCTGTTTAATATTCGTGCCACTCAAAATAAAACAAAACATTATAGAATGCAAAACCGTGTTTCCTATCACAAAGCAATCCCACTTTCGATTCTGAACATTGTTGGAAATTAGCTAGCTCCTGCAAATACGTTCATGGACCGACCTCTCACAGTTTATCTTGAAAAGATCACAAGTGAATATACATAAGTACAATTTGGGGCACAAAAATCTCCTTCGGGTCCAGTTTCTACAAAACACTTGTTGTGCAGGTATATCATAGATTAATGAAATCTCACTTGGTTTCCAGCTAAGGCTTTATATTATTCCTGTATTATTGTTTATAGGAGGAAGTGCGGGACTTCATTAGCCACCTATCGGCAACCGAACCGTAGAGTGACGCTCATAGGACAGACGGTGGCAGCCAGTGTAGCCAACAACATTTCGGCCCTGGTCTTTGGAAGGCGGTATAACCGGATCGATCCCGAAGGCTTGCTTAATAGAAAATCTTCTCACCAGTTTCCTCCACAACTCGAGGTTCCTCTCCACGGTGGATTTCCTGCCGGCCATTCGAGCCATCGCCACGTACATTCCAAACACGAAAACGTACATCACGAATAACCTGTTCAATGACTTCACCCAACTCGTCAGGTGAGTCTCGCAATGAAGTAAGGCGAGTAAGACGTGAAAGATCCCGGAAGGATGATCTATCGGAGTTCCTACTTCAGCTAATCGTGTGTCCTGTGTGCTGAAGAGTGCGCGTGCCAAGCAAAAAAAAAAAAAAAAAAACCGTGGCCCACATGTAATGAAAATAGTTGGGGTTGTACGTTCCAAAACTACAATATGATATGAGAGACGCCGTACTGGAACGCTCCGGAAATTTCTACCAGCATAGCTTCTTTAATATGCACTGATAGCGTACAATACACGGGCCTGCAATATTTTGTCTCCATCAAAATGCGAGCGCCTCAGCCGGGAGGTGCCTTTGGGTCAGCAATCGTGTGAAGTAACTATTGGACCTGCGCGATGGATTCACTAGAACCAGAATTAAATATTACTGTGAAGAAGGCTCACATCTCGGCTCAATATAACCAAGTAGCATAACGTGGGGAACCGTATATGAACCTTAAACAATCAAGACCAGGGTTTGAAGATGAATTCAAATATGCGACGCCACATCCATTTAGCAACACTGATTTACGCTGAGGTACATAGGTAATATGTTGCTCTCCATTGTCCCGTACTACTTGATTCCTTGACATAATCACAGCACCTGTACTTCAGTACGACTTCATACATTTCAATGCATTTTCACGTTCTTTGACCGTGTTTGTACTGTGCCCATGCGTTTATTTTCAAAGTGATGTGTTTGAGAGCAGACTGGTACTTAAAGGGGGCTTCCAACACGTTTCGAAGTAATCACCTAATGGTCTCATTAAAACAGTTTATTGTCTCCAGAACGAACCACCACAAAAATATTTAGAATCCATCACAGATTTGTCGCCTGCTTTAAGTGTTTCCTCTCTACTTTCGTACCAGCGAGAGCGGTGAAAACTACACTGAATAATAGGGAAGCGTGACAAGAGGGCACTGTGCTCCGCGTGTACAACGGCACGCCTCATGACATTGAGCATTATCTTGTTTGTTTTTTTCCTCCTCAAACAGGCGCCTAACATTTCAGTGTGTTCGCGAGCGAGCGCCATCCTATGGCCGGCTGGGTAACTTAGTCACCTACGATGTTCAAATCGACCAAACCATGAACTTAGAATATATCATGCAGTCATATCGGATTATGTAATCGTTTATAAATTATTAATTCCAGGCCCCATGTGGTGTTCTAATGTTAAGCTCACATGTTATCAAGAGCATCTACTACCGATAGGCTAGTATATATGTTTTTGACCATTCTCAAAAAGTGTTGCAGGCCCTTTTTAAGGTCGTATACTTGGATAGGTGTGCAGTACGTAGATAGGTGTCAGTACGTAAAAAAGAATGTTGTTGTGTATGCTGACCTAACGTTTTCAAGACCCACAAAAAAGAGTGGTGTATAAAACAAAATATTTTTGTTCATTGACAGGGCATATACTTTGTGCATTGTGGTCTGAGGCCACAGTGCGGTGCCATCTAAGGGTTCGAACCCAGGGGTTTAGACAGAAATTTTCTTCAGGGCGTGGGGAGAGGGCACCTTAGGGGGGCCGGGAGGAGGGCAAATAGCCTTTTTGCGCTGTGTAAATCATAGTGAAAAACATTTTTTTTTTGGGGGGGGGGGGATTTGGTTTGTTAAACCACTCCCTGGTTACGACACTGTTCTAATAGTGGCATACTAGCATTAAATCTAGCATATGTCACCTCCGCTAACATTCTGAGCAATAATAATGTCGATCAACAGCGTCATTTGCTGACAGTATTCCGTTTCTCATAGAGCTGAAATTGAAAAGCGAAAAGGAAACATGGAAATGCACATGGACCGAGATTTCATCGACGGATACCTGAGGAAAATTTACGAGCATGAAGGAACTACTTCTCACTACACCAGTAAGTAACTAAAGAGAGAGTGGAAAGCAACGAAATGTAGGTACTGATTGATTGATATTTTGGGTTTAACGTCCCAAAACCACCATATGAGTATAAGAGATGCCGTAGTGGAGGGCTCCGGACATTTCGACCACCTGGGATTCTTTAACGTGCCCCCAAATCTGAGCACACGGGCCTACAACATTTCCGCCTCCATCGGAAATGCAGCCGCCGCAGCCGCGATTCGATTTCGCGATTTGCGGGTCTGCAGCCGAGTACTTTAGCCACTAGAGCACCACGGCGGGGCAATGTAGGAACTTCGACATATTGGTATTTTCCACTGCTGAAAGATACAATAATAAGAGGGGTTTTGCGTGCCAGAACCACCATTTTATTAAGAGGCACGCCATGGTGAAGAGCTCCGGAAACTGCGACCATCTAGCATTTTTAAACGTGCACTGCAATCGCACGGTACCTGGACCTCTAGCATTTCAGCAACATTGGAACGCGACCACCGTGGATGGAATTGAACCCACGACCTTGGGTAAGCAGCCAATCACTGTAACCACCACACAACCAAGGTGGACTGTACGGACAAATACAAAGCGATAAAAAAAACAACGTGAAAAAGGTATGAAGCCGCTTGCGTTCGCACGTGAAGGTAACATCAAGCCGATCCTTGGTCACGGAGACATGTCTGGCTTTAAGCCCTCTAGAAATATCCTGGCTGTTAATTACACCTGGGATTCATAACCCATCGTTCAAGGACATTGAATGCGGTCCAGTATTGACCCGAACGGGTTTTGCACTGTCCGTTGAAAAGCGGCGCTGCGAAGTTACAACGGCTTTAGAAGCATCCCGTTTATAATGGGATAAATAAAAAGATCGAACGTGTAAACCGTTATGGCCATTACCAGAGAAGAATAGTTTGATATAAATTGCGGTGTGCACATAATTTCCCGAGGGCATGGTCTCTGTCCCTTTGCCCGAGCGATATACATCCTGTTGCGTTGATGCGATAGCAAATGCCTACGCATACGTGTGTGAGTGATTCTTAAGAGAGAGAAAGGAAGAGAAAAGTGAGCCCCGTTATTGTCTGCTTCAGTGAGCGACACCGCCACAGTAGCTCACGAGGGATGGGGGTGAGGAGGGATAAAAAGGGTAGGAGTAAAGGTGTAAAAAGAGGAAGAAGAAGCAACAACAAACTGAGGGGATATGAGAGACAGGAAAGATGGAAGCACGGTCACTGGAGTCCCGAGGACGGGGCACACTTGTGAGAGCTCTTGTCGGCGTCAGTAGATGGCGTAGAGCAAGTCCAGTAAGTCAGAGCTACAGTGTCGTCGAAGGTCGTCGGCGGCAGAAGGTGACGTAGGGCGAGCCCAGTCGGCCAGAGCTATGCTGACGCCGAAGATCGCAAGCGCGCGGAGCGCGCGGGCGCACAACCGGTCGGCACGGAATCCAGCAAGCGAGTCCCTACGCATACGTCCCCCGTAATATTCTCCAGTGCCACGTCGGTTCCGCAGAATCGCAGGCCCAACGCAAATCTGCTCGGCACGAGTGGCATTTAAACCAAACAAAATCGGGGCCTTACTCTTTTGCAGTAAGCCTGCTTCTTTCATGCCACGCCTCGAACACCTACGACTGGCCTTCTCATAGCCACCGTTCCGACAAAACTGCGAAAACTTGATCTTACTCACATTCCCCTTAGGGGCAACGACTAGTTTGCAGGTTAACGGCTTATATGGCGTGTATCCGCTTGGATGAGGAGCCTCTGCACAGCAGCATGTTCAGTAAAGAAGTGTTTCGTCATGCAATAAATTCTAAGTTCACGAACAAACGAGGAGCGAAATACACGCAAGGCACGAATTTCTCTTCGTCTACTTTTGCGTTGGGAATTTATTGATCTTGTCATGTCAACACCTTCCAACCATCACATTTGTGAAATCTATATTGTCCAAGTGATTGAAAACGTACCATACTCACACTGGGCTTTGCTATGTGTGAGACATTGAGACACCAGTAATCTATATTGCCACGTTACATTCCCGAAGCTTTGTTATCGCCCCAATACACTACACAATTCTCAGCGCAAACCGCGCCTGCAGTCTTGTGTAGTGTATTGGGGCGATGACAAAGCTTGAGGAATGGAACGTGGCAATATGTTCCTCCTATCTGAGTGCCCAGAAAAAAGGGAATATAAAAATAGTAATAACTTGTTTAACCAAACCAACGCTCAATGATCATTTGGAGCAGCCACGAGTTGTATAATTTCCTAACTTAGCCTTGTTTTTCTTATTGTGTCAAAATCACTAAAGGCTAGTTAGCGCTGAATATTTGGTCATATGACAATATGATTTAAACTAATTTGGGCTCCCAAATTATAACAATTGCAGAGCATAAAAGATAAAATCTTATCCACTTCTCCATAGCACACAACAGCGAAGAATATATTAGATTTCTCGAAAGGATGCTTTACTTCAGCGTTGATTCCGACATGGTATTATACTTTAATTGGCTCGCATGCTATTTTTGATAAACAATTTTATATATTACGACCTTCGCCGAAAGCTCCTTTCCAATAAGAAAAAGAGTGGTCCTACTTCGCAGGCCCGCAAAGAAAAAGTCCTGCATTCAGTAATGTGAACCCTACCATTTCACTGCAGTGCGCTACTTGGAAGGTACCGCGATCAACCTGTACGGCGCATCGACAAACACTGTACGAAGCAGCATACTCTGGAATTTGTATATCGCTGCAAACGATCCAGACGGCCACCAGAAACACTTCAGTGTGAAATCGACCGTGCAGTTGGCCGGAACAGGTCACCTGAGTGGAAAGACCGGCACAGCATGCCATACACGATGGCCTCCATACTGGAGACTCTACGGTGGCGGACCCTAGCACCTTTGAGCATACACAGAGCGTGAGTCAATAGCCACTCCCACTAAAGTGGTCTATCTCGCTAGTCTTGATGTCACTAAACTTTCCTTCAGCCAGGGCAGAGTCTTGTGTCTTCTGATGAATAGAAATGTATATTCAGACACTGCCACGGACGCAAACGGCGCTTTCGACCGGATCAACGGGCAAAGAGTAATTTAGCCAGTAAAACAACACATATCGGGTGCGTGCTGCAGATATATTTGTTTATCTTGCCTAACATGTCAAGTGACATCTCCTCAGCACTTGACAGAACAAATACACTACGGGGTCATACAGATATTGAAAGAAACGAGCAAAAGGAAGAAACTACTCCTAACTTTGTGAATCCATGAACAGGGCTTGTTTCTCTAAGGAGCCTTTTTGATATCGTTTTCCTATTTTTTGTCCATCTACAGCGCAGGTCGTGACACTGTCATCGGTGGGTATCGCATTCCTGCTGGCACCTTGGTAGTGCCTAACCTTTGGAGCTTGCACAACGACCCCGCCCACTGGGTCGACCCCTCCAAGTACGACCCAACGAGATTCCTCAACGCTGATGGCACGATGGTCAATGAGAAGCCGCAAGCATTTGCTCCTTTCAGTCTGGGTGGGTATGAATTATCTTAGGTGTCACAACATGACAGCAACCCCTTCAGGTTTCAACCTACGAGTTCAACGTCGGTTGATGCACACGAATACGAATCACGCGAAGGGCAGGCGCTTCTTAATCTTCGTACTCGTCATGCGTGCCAAGATGAACGCATGCCAACAAGCTGCAGTTTTCTTTCTCACGCTTTACGATCCCAGTATTGTTGATTCAATACGTTTGTGCTTGTTCGAAATTCCCGTTCCTGTTACTGTTGTGCGCAGTGTTGAAGTCACTGTACATGCTACCTTCAGGTAGCAGAGGTGCACCAAGGTGTGTCATACTGGGCTCCAAATTTATGCGGCAATGCCAATCTCTGTTTGCGTAGAAGAGGTGTTTTTTAGTAGTGAAGGCCCTTCAGACACCTCAATATCCATCCGTATGCAATCCGCTGCACCGTAATGCACAGTGGAAGCGCAGGAGTGCCTTCTGTTCGGTGCCGCGTGATACATGACCGCACATATAAACTCAGTTACAGCACAATGTCGCCGGCGCTCAGTAAAATAGGCACGCGCACCGCGCAGTCCTGACGCCTCCATATGGAAGAAAGCGAACGTAAGGCGCTCCACACAGCGGCTCGGCAGCAATGCGGCCAGTCTGACGCGGCACTGAAGGCTCGATAAATTGCAACAATACGGCAACGTCGACAAGCACGCCCGAGGCTGAGATCACGGAACCATTTAAGCAGCATTTTCGTTTCACGGATGATTCATGGTATGTTGCATCGTGCTTAACCCCACTGCATTCACTTCGTGGATATGCATTGATCTTTAAATTATTTATATTCTTTTTTAAAGTTGTTCACAAAACTCGATTGCTCGGCTCATGTTTACGAGCCCAAGGTTTCGCTCACACCTTTGGTTGCAACCACTTTGCCAAACTGTGCAAGTGACAAACACACACAAGTGCTGAACTTCTTACCCAAATTTACATATTCGTATAGCAGTTGACAGTGGCACACCACACCAATATCTAGCATGCACAAGTGCAGTCACTGGGTGGTAAGTCTGAAAGATTTAAATGCACGATTCAACAGCGCTGTCACGTTTACCCCTCCTCGTAGCGAAACTATGAAAGTTTAATTCATCTACGTGACCGAAGCGAGCTATCGCATACAATCTAAAATGTTTGCATTCCACCAGCTGGAACACTGTGTTGATTAGAATGATTCCATCAAATATTTTCGGTCACACTTATCCGTGTCATGAACAAATGAAGCATTATACGTCTCAAGTAGCCGAAACAACACGCTGACCAAGGCAACACGTGCCATGCATTTATTGCACCTGCAAATTCATTGTGCGTATACGAAATGGCGGAACTGTGGCAGCTCAGTGTATACGTAAAAAAATCAGCAGATCCCACGTACCTGGGAATCCTCGTTATGCGAAGCATGCGGAAGAAAGGTGACCATGTTGTAATTTTTCAATTGAGCGGCACGTCATAAAATTACGCTTAATCAATGTTCAAATGTCGTACACAGAGCCATATGTTGAAGGGTTGCAGATGTTTACTTAACCAGTTGTTTGCACTTGCGCAACGATGCACTCTGGAACATGCGTATTAGCAACACCAGAAGCTGATATGAAGCGCTGATGCTAGCGAAGATGTTTGCCCTGGACACTTCTACATTAATCAACTTTAGCGCATGGCAACTAACCACATCTGACGTTAACTCGATGTGATGGCTGTATCAAAATAGTACACATGTAATGTTTCTAAAATTGGGTAGGCAGCATTGAAACCACTGTGTAAAATTTCACGAAGATTAGTGCTTATTTGAAAAGTAGTTCCGAGACCTGGCGTAGCTCTGTGGTAAAATGCTTCATTGGCAACCAGAATGCTTGGGTTCGATTCCAGCTGGGACTCGTCGGGTCGACGCTACCGACGTCGAGAATTTCTTACCACTCGCGCATTAAAATTGCCCATGTGTGGTCTCGTCGTTCCTGAGCAGATACCAAGTGTCAACCACCTGTGGCACATACCCGCATACAAGCGGAACATACGTACCCGCCAATGGGTGTGTGCCACTGTCTGGTGGGAAGTGTTTGACGATGTGTGCGGCAGGGTTGTGACATTATTCATGTCTTGAATAGCGCGTCGTCTTGGTCAAACCATCTTACCCTCTCATATTAATATTGGTCCACGTCAAGTAAATGGGGTGACCACGACAGCCCCCCCAAACGTAAGCGGCTAGATAGATAGATAGATAGATAGATAGATAGATAGATAGATAGATAGATAGATAGATAGATAGATAGATATGCTCAAAGTCGCCAAAGTTCGCTATGAAATGCTCCGCATTTAAAAAACATGCTTTTATTTCTTGCTCATTCAAGACATTTTACCACCTTTATTTTTATGGGAGCACCTGCTGCACAGCATACCATTGCCGAGTGATTGAAAAGCAACAAAGTGCAGTTGGTGCTTTGCAGTTCACTAGGTTTACTACGTGCCGATAAAAAAATTGCATCCACGTTTTGCTACACTTATCAGATATACACGGCTTCCCGTGTTTTACGCAACTCATGCGCAGCGGCCACTGGATCAGACGGTTGTGGATAGCAGATTTGGCTCGTTGAACTCATAGAAGCGTCTTAAGATGTATTCGTTGCGGTTGCGAAAGTTCGGCGCGAAACACCACGTCATAATCAAAGGGCTGTCGATGCATTGTTGTGCCACTTTTTTGTACGGCGCAGTAATGCAGCGGGGCTGTTTTCCTTTAGAACTATCGCGTTCTCACATAAAAAAAAAAACGCAGTCGGCGCAGAAACATTTGCGGACTGCGGGATTAGAGAAACAGCTCCATACTTGTGCAGTCCGTGCAAGTTTCCTGGCATAATGCTTACATTTTTACAGTAGTGCATGAGTACGGCATATTATTGTGCCATGTTTTTGACTGTTCGGAACAACCCCCCCCCCCCCCCCCCCATAAAAAATGACAGTACATCCACGGGGTGAATTATGGAGAGTGGGGCGAAGCTGGGTCCGCACGCCGCTGCCACGCCGCTTCGGGGTTCCGTTGTCGTACTGCAGGGTCCTCGCGGCACGCTTTGGCCTCCCCCACCCGCACTGAAGGGTCGCTTCTTCGAGCGCGAGCAGCCGCCACCCTGCGCGCATGCCGCTCGGCAGCCTTGTCCATCCGCAGACCCTCTGAACGCGCGCGCGCCATAACGGCGCTTTTATTGTACGAGCGCCGCCTGGCGCATGGCGCCCCCGAAGAACACGCAATCGCAGTGGCGTTATCGTCTATCTCTCCTTCCGTACGTGTGAAGTAAATGCTCTTTTCATAAAACTCACCTTTTGGTATTATTGTCTTTTGCTAGAAAACGCCCTCCAGTGTGGGACGGCTTTGCATTTCTCAGCGTATACGCATTAGTTCTATATAGAGTTACTGTATATGCTACCTTTGGGCAGCAGAATTGTGCCAAGGTATGCCATCTTGGGTTCATTTGTCTTTCGGAAAAGCCACTCGCACCCACGTAGGAGCAACGCTCGCGCTTCAGAGTGCTACATAGTCTCTCAATATTGAGGGATTATGGTACTAACGTGGCTTTTTTCATTTTCCCACTTCCTTTATATTTTTCTAAAGGCATGAGTAAAACTCGGTTGCTCCGGTCACACCTAGAAGCCTCGATTTGATGCTTGCGTTCTTGGTATGTAATAATAAAACAAAGTGCGTCGGCTCATTGAACCAGTGAGATACATTTTTACGGTTGGTTACACTAGCTTCGCCTTTTCCTCTGTTTTTCCCATTTACAAATATGAAATTATTTTTGCACTTTTTAACGCAAACGAAGTGGAACATTTTTTTATCTTTGACCCTTCGTTTGAAGGACCAGCAGCTTACGCCTTCACTGATCGGCTGGATAGTGATTGAACCGTGTACGTCCTAAGCCGTTATTTTGGACCGTACAAGGTTCTTAGACGAATCACAGATCTTACCTACGAGGTATTTCCGGACGGCGCAGCGTCTTCTCGTCGACAGCTTCGGCCCGAAACCGTGCATGTCCTTCGGCTGAAGCCCTACTTCACACAGTAGCCCTTGTGGTTTCACGTGCTACGACATGCCGTGACATTGCGTTGCCGCTGCTGTTTGTGTTCTCGCGTGTTTTTGTGCCCTTTCTTTTTGCGCTTGGCGGAAGCGTTGGCGAAACTTCCTCATTTGCGCTGCGAGTAGTGGCACTCTCCCTCTTTTGGTTCTCTATATCTGCGTGTGTATACCTTCATTTTTTTTTTATTTACGAGCATCGAGTCGATGCTTTCAAAGGGGGGGACTATTGCCACATGGTTTGCTTGGGTGAGATCGAAGAGTGAAAGAAGACAAAGACGATCTCTCTGAGCCGCTACTGGAGTAGTCGACTAAACGAGCCCATTTTTTATCAAGTTTGTCGAGAGTAACGTGACAATATTGCGCTCGTAATGCAATCCCGGCTCACGACAGCTGATGTGATACAACAGCCGATGTGAACCACGCTTGGTCTGCCCGGAATCATCGTAGCGCTGGCTTCTCCGCAGTGCATTTGAACCACTTATGGCCACGTGATGGCTCTCGGCGAATAGGGGCACTTAACTTCTGCAGGCGGAGCGAAACGCGCCCGGAAAACAGGGGTGCAACTCTGCTACCTAGAGGCAGCATATACGTTGACTCTAGTTCTATAGTACCAGGAGCGCCATCTATGGCCAGATGGGAAACTCAACGAGCGGTGGTACAAACGATAACGGCACGATCGGGTGACGCCCAAAGGAGCTTCGCCCCTAAGACTGGTCGTTTTGAAAGACACCCGTAATCTGTGATGCCAGTCAGATTTTTCGTTTTTGCTTTCGATCAGCGGATAGCTACTCGTAGTTCGGGGTATTTGATAATAATATAGTTCAACATTAAAAATACGCTTCGCTGTTTAAGCCTGAATGAATGTTTCTTACAGGAAGACGTGCTTGTCCAGGTGAATCGCTGGCTCTGATGGAAATATTCCTGTACGTGACCATAGTGCTTCAAAAGTTCAAGGTGCTTCCCGAGCAAGGTGCCACGCTTTCCCTCGACGTTCAGCTCGTTCTCGTGGCAGCCCCAAACGACGAACAAGGCTTGCGTTTTATCCCACGATAAATTATTTCCATAGTTCTTGAAACTGGTCGTACAGTAGTGTCGAGCAAGTTTGACGAAATGTGATAGACGATTTCATTTCTTGTTCAGAGCTCGCTTCTTTTTGAGCATGATGGTGGTATCCTTAATTTTTTTTTCGCACTGATGTCACCCATCCAAAGCATTTTCGATTGAGATAAAAACAAACCCAAAGGGTTTTTGTCGTCATTCTGGATCCCACACTCTTGATTATTTCCCCTGTGTTTGTCAAAAATATATGGAGTATACCACTATCCTATTACCAGTCACCATATCCAGCATATCCGGTCAACTGTAACCAGTGTGGCCTTTTGTACAAGTAATCGCCGCAGATAGAATCTTGCTTGTTTGGGTAGCATGCGTCAAGAATGCGCAGACGTTTGCTGCCTAAAAAACGCTGCTTTCGAATCAATGTTGAGAATACACAACTAAGACAACTAAGACTACACAACTACACAACTAGGGCTCGGGCACCTCTCAGGCCCGACATGCAGTCGGGCTGCGTCGATATAGGGGAAATTTTTTTTCCCGGGTTTTCACCAGGCCATTTGAGTCACCGGACCGACTTCAGGCGGTTAAACTTCAACGAGTTGCCAGGCTCGGGACGGGCCTAGGCCGAAAATCACAGCCCATGCAGTACTCTAGTTTGAACTTTCACAATGGCAAAGACGTGCTCTCGAGGAAGAAGATGTCAGACGTGAGCTCACGCACGAACGGGTGTTGACGCCGAGCTGACAGCGGTGTCCGCGCAAGAAAGGCTGAAGCTAACGGCTAACGAAGGGAGGGCTTCTAAGACATAAAACTACAATAGCCTGACGAAGAAGGCTCATCAGCATAGCTGTTTAGAGAGCCGTCGAGAAGAGGAACAAGATGAAATGTTTTCAAGTACGTATAATAATGAAGTGTAACGTGCGTTGTTCCCACATATAACTCTATAGATCGCGTAAGGCTCATATATGTCACATGCTTAAGAAAACTGCTCACTGCTTAAAAAGTCATGTCTACATATATTTAAATCGAATGAACGTCACGTTTATATTGCCACATTCCTTCCTCAAGTTTTGTTACACCAGCGCCTCCTCTAATTTGTGAATGCCAGCCAGATTGCACCCGATCCAGCTGTTCACCACCATTTCCTCTAGCTCTTTCCTGTGTTCGCCCATCGCCTAGGCTTCACGTGGGCTCACGTGAGCCTAGGCGATGGCTTCACGTGAGCCTAGGCTTCACGTGGGCTCTGCGGTCATTGGGGAGAGAGCCCCTCAAGCAGAGCCTCATGACAGAATTCAAATGAAGTAATTTTGGTTCAGTTGTGTAGAGCTCCGTGGGGCGGTGTCTTGCATTCTTCGTGTTCACAATATTGGCGGTCACACTGACTGTGTCGTAGATACGTTGTTTTGAGATAGCGTGTCGACGTTCGTGGCGTTATGCAGGCAACCAACGGGGAAGCATCACTACAACGCCTCTGCATGCACTGCTCTGTGACGCGGTGGCGGCATTGCTTCGGCGTTCTAAAGGAGCTTGAAGGAACAAATCTGACAGACGTATCATGCTGGAGTGGGAAATAGGTCTGTCGCATCAACAGGGCAAAGCGCTCGGAAGCGCTACCTAAAGCGCTTCCGAGCGCTACCTAAACGCTACTTAAAGTTACTATATATGCTACCTGAAGGTAGGATATACAGTATTTCTAGCGCTACCCATCGTGTAGTGTCACACCACGACAACATTCAACTAAGGTGGACCGATGGTTCCCGTCCAGAAGCGCGCGTTTGCACTGGCATGGAAAGAAATAAAGGAGGCGTTGGTTACACTCCAAGAAATGTTCAGCGCAAACCGCGCCTGCAGTTTTCGAGAAGCGTCGGGACTGTAGTTGATCTTCTTGTGAAAGATCACGTGCGCAACGCGAACATTCAAGATTATTCCGGAACTTACTTGAACGTTAGCGATAAAGCTGCAATATTCGACGGCACACGTATAAATGGCGTCTCGTTTCAATGCTTGTCAGTTGACCGACGGCCAACGTTCTGATCGACAGCCGACGCTCTGTCAGTGACAGTGTGTATCAATGTAATCCGATTTCTCTTAGATGGCCACAACTTCAGCCAAATAAACAGTTTTATCTTCGACCTATAGTTTACTCCCTTCGTCGCGTCATGACACCGTGACAATATTGTTTACTTATGATTATAGTTCGTTAATGTGCTGTTGTTGTTCCTTTGTCTTCGCAGTTCTTGAGTGGCTCATTCATCAACTTATGTTGAATCGCTAAACTTAAGCCTTTGAATCAATTTATTAGGGACAAAAGCAGCAGCGTTGAACCTTCCTCGCAGTTCGCGGTTGCTGTACGTGGCTCGCATACTTTATTTTTGCAAAGTGACGGGGATGGTTGCGCATGGCACACGCGATAAGAAGTGGACCCTGCATATTCTTTTCTATCCCGCTTGCTGTAGAGCACGCTATAGCTAATTCCACAACCGTCGTCTTCTGGTTTCGCTTCGATAAACATGCCGCGAGCCGTTTCCGAAGCAAAAAACGGCGACGATCTGCATAATTGAATATGCAGTCGTGCACGCCTCCGTCTCTTCCTCCATGAGCCGCGCGCTTCCCAGCTCTAAGGACGTTGTTCATGCATAGGAGCGAAAGGCTGCCGGATCAAAAGCAATAATGGCTGCCTTCTCGGCTTATGTTAGCTGTCAGAGCCGGTGTTCGCTCAAATCGCTGTTCCGCCTTTTTATTCTTAGTCTCCTTTGCTGGAAGAATCGTAGTCTGCTAGTTGCGTAATTCCTGGAAGTCCTGCGCATAAAGATAACTCTGCTCAACGGTGTCCACCCCACATACTCGAATAGCAAGAAAAAAAAAACACGAGTAGAGAGGATTGAATGACTCAGCGCTGAGCCATTCCATTCGCTCCTCGACGAGATTATCTCAAATAACGCGTGAGCGCCTTTCCACGAGATCGAGTCAGGCACATCAGCACTTCGAGACTCGTGAATCAGACATTGCCGGCCAAGTATGGTCAGTCTTGTGCTCAGGATATTCATTATGAGTGGCGTTCTGGGAAGATTAAAAAAGTTTAATCCTCCATTACTTGTTACGTTGCAAACTAATCCTGTTATAAACCTGCTTTAGTGATCATTCTACTAGATAAAGTCAATTAGAAAAAAATAATAACAATAACTTTATATTATTATTATTATTATTATTATTATTAACATATCACAGGAAGAAGAACAAAGAAATGCTTAATTTTACAGAAGCGCAGAGAGGGAAAGAGATGAAAAGCAATATTAGAAGGGGTTAATCTAGTAGTAGTAACCTATTTGCCACCCTTCATAGGGGTGGGAAAAGAGGATAGAGAAAGAGATAAAATGAAAACGAAAAAAAAATCACCCACAGGCTTACACGCAGGTCGTTCCAATCAGACTTGTTTGTCAGACCGATAAAACGCAGAACGCGCAGTAACTCTTTGCACAGCTCTCTTCTGTGGCGTTGAGAAAACGTACACAAAGTAAACAGGTGTTACTATAACAAATTGCAGGGGAAGTGAGGGGGGGGGGGTTGGAGCAGACTCCATAGAGGGCCCGAGCAGTTCCTATCAGTTTCATGAAAGAAAGTGAACAGTACACAATGTGGCTAAGATAGCCAACTGCAACTGTGAAACAGCGACGAAACAAAGGAAGTTGCCCATAGAATGAGAGGGGAGTTACGTAGACGAAAACAGGAGAATTCCTGTGGCATCGCATTTTTTATTTGTTATTGGCGACGGCAAAGAGGTGCTGACCCGAGAGTTGTAAGTTCTGTTTGTTGTTGCCGACCAAGCTTTCTGTACAAGAGCTTACGTGGGCAACCGGTTTCTTTTTCTTCGGTGTCACTCAGCTTACTTCTCTGTCCCAGTTTACACAGCGTGAGCTGTGCTGTTTATTGAGTTTAGTTCATTTTACGTGCAGGCAGCTGAATATAAGCTTCAAAATGTGCGTAGACAAACGGCTGTGTAGCGCCGTTCTGTTGACGAGAATGTTCGTTCCCTGTTTAGTTTTTAAGCAGATTGATGCTTGGGTTTTATTCCCTGAATATGTTTACTGGCATACGAAGTTATTCTCCCTGGGTACAGTACCTACAGGTATTGTAACCGGCAGAGGCGCACGTTTCTTCTTTACGCGTTGAGAATGGCACAGCTGGCACGATATCATCGTGTTTGAAATGGGACGAAAAGGGCGAGGTGGGGGAAAGGGGGGATCAAGCCTGTGGATGAAGGCTGCATTTAAAGGAAGGTGTGGCACAGAAAATGAACCTGATAATACCGACATGTTTTCTCCGTTGTAGAGTGCAATCCTGCGCCTCATTTCTCGCAAAAGCCCCTATAGGTTTCGAGAAGTGCGAAAAAACAAACAAACCAAACCTTCGACATTTACGACGATCCCATTCCATGACTGTTTTTGTTACACTCGAATTTCAGAAAGTTTCAGTTTTCAGAAAAACTTTGTTGTAATATATCTATAAGCCCAATTCAAGCACAACGCCTGGTCAAGTCACGCGTTGTAGGTGGTGGAAATCTTCCACACCGTTTTCATTGTCGTGACCACTAACGACAACTAAAGTTGCTTTTGCTATCGAGCTGCGCCTTCGTCGTGTTGTTTGCACAAGCTGCCGCCGCTACTTTCATCATATACATGTATTTGCACGTTTAGAATCAGTTTATCTTGATTTAGATTTAGTGAGCACCAAGCGTTATATCTTTTTTTTCTTGGATTCGCAGAGAAGTTTTTTAATTTCCAAAATATGTAGATGAACGATCTTTTGATATGCTGAATTATCTTTGATTGATATGTGGGGTTTAACGTCCCAAAACCACTATATGATTATGAGAGACGCCGTAGTGGAGGGCTCCGGAAATTTAGACCACCTGGGGTTCTTTAACGTGCACCCAAATCTGAGCACACGGGCCTACAACATTTCCGCCTCCATCGAAAATGCAGCCGCCGCAACCGGGATTCGAACCCGCGCCCTGAGGGTCAGCAGCCGAGTACCTTAGCCACTAGACC